ACTCCCACAGTCTCTAAGACACACCCTTTCCTTGTCATCTGTCAATCCTGATGGAAATGAGATCAAATCTTAATGCTAATTGCAACTTTCATATAGCTTTTATTTGTATTTTGAAAATTGCATGTTCATATTCTTTGACCACTTTTCTCCTGGGTAATGTCTTTTTGCCCCTATTCTTTTTTATTTATTTTTATTCTGAACTTAAGCAGTTCCATAACAAAGTGGAATTGAAAAAAAAAAGATTGCATCAGAAACTACAGGTCTTATCATGTACAACTTGCTATTCCTTTTAAATTTACAAGAAAAATATCATTTAACTTCTTTCCCCTCCCTCCCACTCAGATTGCCACCATTAGACACAAATGTGTATATGTCAGTTCTTCCTTTAGATGCAGTTACTATCTTTATTCAGAAGACCTTTGATTTTGATTAATTTGGATATTTATAATAGAATGACTTAGTCACTCAAAGTTGTTCTTAAAACAATATTATTACTGTATACAGTGTTCTCTTAGTTCTGTTCATTTTGCTCTTCGATATTTTCAAGGTTTTTTTGAAATTGTCCTGGTTGTCATTTCTTATAGCAGAGTAGTATTCCATCACAGACATAATCCACAACTTGTTTCGCTGTTCCCCAATTAATGGGCATCCTCACAATTTCCAGTTCTTTGCCACCACAAATAGAGCTACAAATATTTTACAATATGTTTTTCTCCTTTTTGCCTAATCATCTTGTGAAATACACCTACTAGTGGCTGGGTCTATAGGCTGTTTAATAACTCTTTGGGCATAATTCCAAATCTCTTCAAAATTGCTGGATCACCTCACAGGTCCATCAACAATTATTGTCCCAATTTTTCCACATCCCTTCCAACATTTGTTGCATTCCCCTTCTACCATTTTAGCTAAGCTGATAGGTATAAAATGATATCTGAAGGTTGTTTTAGTTTGCATTTTTTCATTTGACTAAACTGTTTTGATTTCTTCATCAGAAAACTGCCTGTTTGTATCCTTTGACCATTTATCAATTGGGGAATGACTCAGATATAACAAAGTTCTTTATATATTTGAGATATGAGACCTTTATCTGAGGAACTACCTATAAAGCTTTCCGCCCAATTTTCTGCTCTCCTGATCCTGACTACATTTCATTTGTACAAAAACTTTTAATTTAATGTAATCAAAATTATCCATTTTATACCTTACAGTGCTCTATCTCATTTGTTCAAGGTATTTTTTTTTAATCACCTCTGTCTCTAATTGAGATTTCTACTGTTGGCCATAATTGAGATAGGCATCTCTGAACTTTCTCCATTCTGATGGGACATTTCAAAGTTACATGCATATTCATTTGTTACTTACTGTGGTGTGAATTGTCAAAAAATGGGGCTAAACCAGTTTTCTTCAAAATTCAGTTTTTCCTAGCAATTTCTGCTGAACAGGAAGTCTCAATACTTTTTGTTCTTGGCTTTATCGAGGTATAGTAGATAGAGCACCACGCCTTAAGTTAGGAAGATGACATCACATCCAGCCTTGGACATGAGCTTGGGGGACCCTGAGCAAATCACCAATCTGTTTGCCTCATTTCCTCATCTATAAAATGGGGTACCTGGAAAGGTGGTTGTGAGGATCAAATGAGAAAGAGGTGTTCTAGCATGTCCTTCCCTTTTTGTAAAACTGCAGGTTAGATGACTTTCTGGGAGGAATTTTTAGGTTACTGAAAGAGTTAAATATATTGGAAGAGGCTGAGAAAATGTTCGGATTAGGGGACAGTAGGCCAATCTAGCTTGAGCGACTGACTTATGTGGGGGATAAAAGTGGGATGTAGATAGGACCAGGTTTTAGAAGACCTGGACAGTAGGCCAAGCTGTTCAACTTAACTTTGAGGAAAAACTGGGACACTGAGTTAAGTCACCACATTTCAGTAGGGTTAGTATTTGAACCAGTGATAGCACTGTTAATTTGTGTAGAGGCCATTCTAAGAGCTGGGGATACAAAGAACGGCAAAAAAGAATGATTTTATGCTTTCAAACAGCTCACAGTCTAATGGGGGGGGCAAATAACGTGTAAACAAGATATTTAGAGGTTAAACTGAAAATAATCAACAGAGCATTAGGAGAAAAAAAGGTAAAAGGTGGAGTTTTAACTGCAGCTTGAAGAAAGTCAGGAAATAGGAATTTCAGGCATGGGGAGCAATGAAAATGCACAGCATCAGGAGTAGGGGTGGAGAGAAGCAAGAAGGCCATTTCTTCTGATTCTTTGCTTATCCTGTTCCACTGAACCTTTAAAAAAAATAAGCCAATAACTATCCTATATTTTCAGGTCTGGTAATGTTGTTATGACCTCTTTTTTTACTTTTTATTTCTTAAGATTCTATATTTTCTGTTCCTTCAAATGGATCTTACTATTTAGTCCACACTGTAGTATCCCCTGGTAATCTTATTTTTATAGTAGTAAATCTGTAAATTACTATTGGCATGGCCAAATCATAAACTATCTTTCCATTTATCTTTATTTCTGTTAATGAATGTTTTGTATTTGTGCTTATATAAATCTTACGTAGCCCTAGTAGGCAAAGTCCCAAATATTTTGCCCATTTTTAAAATATTGTATTAGAAATGCTTTTTGTGGATTTTGTATCCTGCTACTTGTTATTAATCATCTGCTCGATCCACCACCTTTTCCTCAATTAGATTTTAAAACTGCTCTACTTCTGCCTAACAATACCTTCATGTCTTCGTCCTAACTCCTTGACATAGATATTCTCCAAAGCAACACACTGTCCTAAGCCCTCCTCATGTGTCGCTTACTACCTCTCTGCAAACCTTTCTTTCCCTTGAGCCCTGATCTTTCTGCCAAACCTCAAATTCATACTTGCAGCTGCTCACTGGAGGGCAGCTGGCTGATGCAGTGGATTGAGCGTTGGCTCTGGTGTCAGGAGTCGTCATCTCCCTGAGTTCAAATCTGGCCTCAGACACTTGTAGCTGTGTGACCCGGAGTAAGTCACTTCACCCTATTTGTCTCAGTTTCCTCATCTGTAAAATGAGCTGGAGAAGGGAATGGCAAACCACTCTTTTGCCAAGAAAACCCCAAATGGGATCACAAAGGGTTGGATGCAACTGAAACGACTCAACTGCTTACGGGATAACTTCACTTTCGTGTCCTGGTGGTATCTTAAACTCAACATTTCCAATGCCAGATGTGAACATTTTCCTCCAAAAACGAGTTCTTGACTTCTCTATTTTTTCCATCAGTGGCATTACTATTCAGAGTCAAACCTGTTATCCTTTCCTTTTTCATCCTCCCTCCTTTTTTTGGGGGGGAGGGGGTGCTCGAGGCAATGAAGGTTAAGTGACATGCCCAGGGTCACACAGTTAAGTGTCTGAAGCTGGATTTGAACTCAGGTCTTCCTGATTCCAAGGCCTGTGTTCTATGCATTGCGCCACCCAACCTACTGATATCGTTGTTGCTCCATCATCTCTGATCCATGTTTGTTACTGTTTATCCTGCACCATTCCAGGTTCTCAGCATTTATTCCGACTGCCATCCCCTTCTAACTTTGTCTGATTTCTCCAACCCATCCTCCCTCAAGTCAGGACCTCTCCTCCTCTTCTTACCTCACCTGGTTTATTAGTTTGCTGGCCTCACCTCACCCTGCTCTGGTCCTTTCTCCAATTCTGCCAAAGCAACTTGTATTAGGCACAGATCTGACCTTGTCATACTGCCCTTCCTCAGTGAATTCCACTGCCAGGTCCTCCAATCTAAATTCCTCTTCTTAGAATCGGTTTTCCTTTGGACTTACGTTTGAGATGCCGTTAGGTAACGGACATCTTCAGAAGAGAAATTAGGATTGGAGCCCATGGGAAAGGAGCAGATCATCAACAGGGAGCCGAGTGAACAGAAGAGAGCTGGGGTGGGAGGCACCACGTGTGACACAAGTGGCAAGCGTGCTTTTGACCAAAGTCATTTCCAATGTAAGGTTTGTGCAAGACAATCCACTGAAGGAGAAAATAATTTCTATTTATATTCTTTTTACTTAAAACAAGAAAAACTGAGCAATACTTAGCATACAGGTCAACAATGGTACCTCCACTCTTTATGCTGGATGGTCACATCATGTATGTATAGTATGTGAGGTTCTCCAAGAGAAGAGTAGGGATTCCCTCAGGCAGGACAGTGTATGAATAGAGCCACGGACTGAAGAAAATTTGAGTATGATCCTTACCTTAGATACTAATTAGCTATGTGACCCTGGAGAAGTTACTTAACCCTTCTCAGCCTTGGTCTTCCCCTCTGTAAAATGGGGGGAATAGTACCTACATCATAAGGCTGTTGTGAAGCTCAAATGAGATATATATGTAACAAGTCTGCAAACAAGGCCCTATAATAAATGTAATTATTTGTCCACAACATAGATTGAAAATGGTACTCTAATTTGTTTTCAGTGTATCGTTAAGTATGTGTACATGTGCCCTGCTGATTTATGGATATTATTAAGTTTTAACTAAACTAAGTTACAAAATGAACAACTGGCTTATAAAGATTCATGCAAGAAATCACAAATTGAAGAAAATACTAATAAATGTGAATACAAATAAAAAAAGGTAGAGCTGGAAATTCTACTTTCAGTTTTTTGTCAACGACATTTTGGTAAGACAATTATAACTTACAAAAAGTTGGCCAAAAAAATTTAAATTATCAAGTAGCTTATTTTAATATGGATTTATCTTCATGAGTGCTGACAAACCTTACCCTCAGTGTATCTTGTACATTGGTGGTATTAGCTGATAGTATGAGGCAAAATATAATTTATAAGACACTTTCAAAATGTAGCTTTTATTGCCAAAAACAATGTGTCACCTATAAAAATCTCTTTATGCTTTAACTTTGGAAACAATTTCCCAGCTTGTTTAAAAAACTTCCAAGTTAAGCTTCAGTAGGTTTTGAACCATTTGTTCAAAATATAACAATACTTTTCAATTAGTATATAATAACTGATACCAAGTAAAATGCAACTTTATTAGACACATTTCAGTCAACATGTTGGTAAATGAATTTGAAAAATGAATACCAAGATTTATACGCAAAGTCAATAATGCACTTTTTCCACATGGAGCTACACATTAACCAACAAACATTTATTAAGGGCCTACTCTTCATGAGGCAATGTTCTGGGTACTGAGGATATTAAGACAATTCCTATTTTCAAGGAGCTTACAATCTACTGGTGGGGGTGGGGGTGGGGGTGGAGGAGGGGGAGACAACAAGCATAGATGAATGGTGGTACTGCAGCTCTAAGAGATGGTGGTGGGGAGACTGTGCATTCTGGGAATGGAGGATGGCCAGTACAAAGGCAGGTAGATGTATGTACCATGGGAAGGATAGTGGGGCAGCCAGTTTAGATGGACTCCAGAGTGTTTTGAGGAGGAATAATGCACAGTGAGGAGGAAAAGATCAGTTGAGGTCAAGCTGTGAGGGGTGTTAAAAGCTAGAGTTTATATTTGATCCTAGAGGCAACAGAGTTTATTGAGTAAGTAAGTGACTTGACCAAATCTATGTCTAAGGAAACTCACTTTGGCAAGCATGCAAGAGCAGGATGGATTGAAGTAAAGGCTAGGGGCACACTAATTAGTAAGCCATTGTAGCAATCTTTGCTACAGGTGATAAAGGACTGAACCAAGGTTTTACTTTGTTCCATCCAGTTGACATTAAGTATTTTTTTGTGATTTTTTTTTCAGCTATGGCAGTCATTAAAATACCAGAATAAGACCTCTGAATCAATGCATCACAGTATTAAAACAAGATTTCAAAAATAATGAAGCAATTAACTTGTTTTCACTAAAAATTATTGTAATGATAACTTAGTGAGTAAAAAGGTTTTTACACCATTGATGTACAAAATCACCTATTTTAAAAAAGATTCTTTTCAAATTTGTTTTATAGTGCACATATTAGTAGAGTGGTAAATGCATATAATTCATAAATTTTATACACACAGACATGCTCAAATAAAATAATGTCCTCCAACCTGCATAACAAAAATACAGGAGGTACCAATCTTAAGAGTCCTATCTGGAGTAGTGTTAGTTCACAGTCACATTATAGGAAGGGTAGTGACAAGTTGGAGTATGTCTCCAGGAAGGGGACCAGGGGAGCTGTGGGGCTACAGAATGACTTACGACTTACTGCTGAAGAGACTGAGAATATGTAGGTCTTATAAGAATGTGAAGGGCTCTTAATAGGCATTTATTAAGCTTCTATTTTCTTCATAGTTTGAGATGCTCAATTTCTAGAATTCATGCCCTAGGCATGAATATCCCCAACCACCAGGTAAGAGGGTGATAAATCAATATGATGCACCTGATCTTCCAAAACCCCACTGTTTTCCCTCTTCCTACTTTCAAGTCCTATCATCTTCATACATGCTTCCAAACCTCTGCAGGCACAAAGATTATTTCCCTTGTTTTAATTCCTGCATCACTGCAAGTCTTTTCACCAGGACCTCGCCCCTTTACATGGTTCTTCAACTGCTTCACGTATTAGTCTTCTCAACAAAGCTGTAAGCTGTTCCATTCAAGTTGGTCGCTGGGGACACAAAAAAGAACAAGATCTTGTCCCTGCCCTCCAGGAGCTGACATTCTAGTAAGAACTTCTCAGTCCAGTTACCTCTGGTTTCTCAAACATTCCACAGAACATACAGTGCAGAGGATTAAATACAACCATGGCGTACCTACACATTATGCCTGATTTGCCTAAAAAAATGAAGCCCTGGTGTACCATCTCTTCTTTTAAAGGCCAGTTTCTCCTTGTACAGGTAATTTAATGCTTTTTGTCTCAATGGAGATAAGGTGAGCCTCTCATTTAAGAAAATGGCATTTTCTCTAAGGTGGAATGCAGTCTGAAGGTTAACAAACCAGGATGTGTCCTGAATAACTTTTCCCCCGGAATAGTCAGCAGTTGATAATACTTGAAAGCTTGTGACTTACTTGAAGGTGAAGCAAAGTAACATTCCTCTAAATATTCAGGTATCTGTTGACATATATAGATCCTAAATGTCATTATTACTCAAAACTATTCCACTCCTGGAACTTACATTCTTTCCCGTTTAACCACAATTGCATTACTTTTCATTGATCATATTGCTTCACTCCTCTCTTCCCTCATCGCGACCATTTTTACTAGCCTTCTTCTAATTTTGTTTACCTTCCAGAATCCCTTTCACCTCTGACTTTTGCAGGAGTCTAGCTTACAAAACTTTGCTGGAGAAAGCCATACAATTGACAACATTTTTTGAATGACAAATCCATTCTATTTAATCTAAGCTATATCAACTGACTGTGGAGGCATAGTAAAAACCTCCCGTTTTATCTAAATTGGAAATATTAATAAATGTATTTCTCTAAAGACCCAGAAATTGGGATTACAGGTGGAAACCAAACTTTGAATAAAGAATACCCACTAGTCCAGTTAAGTGACTGGTCTGTAACCTACCCACCCACACTTTTTTTTGGTGAGGCAATCAGGGTTAAGTGACTTGCCCAAGATCACACAGCTAGTACCCGTCAAGTGTTTGGTCTGAGGCCAGATTTGAATTCAGGTCCTCCTGACTTAAGGGCCGGTGCTCTATCCACTGCACCACCTAGCTGCCCCTGTACCCACACTTTCATAGAGAAAAGATTAAGATATTGATCCTTTCAATACTCCAATTGAGTGATTCAGGAAGAAACTGAGTAGTTACCAGAAGATTAAATGGCCATCATTGTTAGACTGAGCTCCTCGAGGGCAGGGACTCTTGTCTTTCTTTCAGCTCTTAGCACAGTGCTTAGCACTGGCAGGAGCTTAAATGATTTAAATTTTACAAAATGTGAAAGGCTGTCAAAGGGAGGAAAGGATCACACTTGTTCTGTTTGGTCAAGGAGAGAATAACAAAGAGTAATGGGTACAAGTTGCAGAGCTCTGGCAGGTTCAAGGTGGATATAAAGAAAACTTAACAATTACCTATTAAAAAAATGCAATCAGATACATAAATTACCATAAGACCACCACTTTTAGTGGAGGTTGAATGACTCCACTGGTGTAAGAGTTCATTGATCGATGTTCTGGTGGGATTCAATGGCTTCTACGATCTCTTCCAACTCTGGGCTTCTGAGATCTTCTTAAATCTCAGACCTGTTCCCGGTTCTAGTTCTGACTTGACACAGTAACTGTTAAGTGACTTTAGGGAAATTACTTAACCCTTGAGCTTGTTTCCTTAACTACAAAACAGCTTCCCAATCACCAAAATGTCAGCTACCACAAGACTTTTTTTTTTTTTTAACCAATAGTCACTCCTGAAATGTGAAGAGCCATTTGTGGCATACCTGCAAATGAAAGTGGAGACCTTCAAAATAATCCTCCCTTCTACCAACTTTGGGGTTGAAGAGATGCAACAATTTAACATCAAACATCTTTGTCAAGTGCTTACGTAGGCTAGCAGAAGCACTAGGAAAGAGAAAAGTCCCTGCCCTCATGGAGCTTACAGTCTAACAGGCTATAATATATGCATGTAATATAAAAGTTATCAAGAGCAAAGTGCTATGTGAGGTCCTAGTATGGAAATGATATTACCAACTGGCAGGGGTCAGTAAAGACTTCCTGGAGAAGTGGATATGGGACCAAATGAGATCACATATCCAAAAAGGCTTTGTAAGCTGTACTGTTTTATAACTGGGTTAATTTCCCAAGTTATTTCTGAAAGTAAGTACCAAGTTTTACACTCCACCTTTCACAAATCCTTTAGCTGAAGTCATACTGCACAGTCCACAATGTCGTGCTTCTCTATCCCTACCATTCCCAGTTTCCTATGCCAGGATTATGTTCATCATCTGAAATCCTACATTCTCAGGGTCCACCTCAAATGCAACCTTCCCTTATCCTCAAGTACTCCTATCTTGATGGACTAAACTATAGGATACTTGGATTTAAAACTTTCTGTGTCACCCTAGGTGATTAACAAGGCCTCTTTAACAACTGTTTCCTTCTCTGTAAAACAGGGCAAAAAGGTACAACCTACCTCACAGAGTTGTACGGAAAAGGCTTGTAGACATTAAAATTCTAAAGAAATATAAGCCATTACTCTCTCAGACACCTTTCCTTCCTCTTGTGAATTCTCATAAAAACCCACTTTCCAAATATCCTTAAAAGTTCCCCCAAAACTCAGGTGTTATGTACCTTTGCTTCCTCTTGTGAGTTTTCCCAACAGTCCACTTTCTATACCCTATTAAAAGTTCCCAAAAGAACTTAGACACTTTTGCCTTCTTTAGTGAAGACTCATAATAGCTGACTTTCTATACCCACCTAAAAGTTCCAAAGAACTCAGAGAGACACCTTTGTTTGCTTCCTCTTGAGTTCTCAATAGTCCCTGTCCTATACCCTTTTAAGAGTTCCCAAAGCACTTTCCTAACACCCATCCCGGGAAGTAGGCAGGTCAAGCATCCTGTTTTACTTTTGGGTGTTTTTTTTGGTTCGTTTTTAGCAGAACAGCAAAGTAGGCTCAGGTTAAATGGCTCCCAAAGGAGCTCCTGATCCAAAGCATCAACTCCTGGCTCTCGCACCACAGAAGGGGATAATGCCATCAATAACATCAGAAACTGACATGATTTTATCAGAGGAAATGACATTAAAGAAGAGGCATTACCAAGGGGCTTTCTTAACTGACTCGAAGCTGAAACCTTGCCCAGGTGTGGTTTCCTCCATTAGACTGTGAATTCTACTAGCATCTCCAGTATTTTGGACAGTACTTTGCACCTAGTAAGCGCTTAATAAATGCTGCATTCATTCATTGTTCGTTCTTTGGCCTACCTCACAGGGGACCATGAGTAACTCAGGTAAAGGCCTTGAAGAATTTACAGACATTGACTAGGGCACTATTCCCCCCCCCCCCCCGGGGCCGCACGTTTGTGGACAGTCCCGCTCCTCGGGCTGCTACCTGGTTCGGTCACAGCCAACACTGTCCACCCCGCTGCCCCCAGCCTGGGGAAGGCGAACCCTCCTCCCTCCGGGTCACTGCCCCCCGCGGGGTCGCCTGGCGAGGGTCACCCACCGCTCGTGTCCAGAGGCAGGCGGTCCCGGGCCGAGACTCGAGCTCCGAGAAAAGCGGAGACGGGCCAGCGGGGAGGGAGCGGCCTCCGCTCAGCCAGGCTCGCCTCGGGCCAGAGCCCCCTGGGAGCTCCGGGGAGCTGTCGGCCCAGCTCCCCGCTCCTCTCCGCGCTCCGCTCGGCACGGTGCCATCTTCGCAAGAGCGCGGGCCCCTAGCGCTCAGCTCCCAAGAGGCAGAGAAGCCGCTCCCGGCAAGTCCACGGGGAAAATGGCGGCCGCCGCCGCTTCTCTCTTCCCCGCTAATCTCAAATGCCAGCCTCTCTCCCTCGCTACAAAATGGCGCCTCCCGCTGCGGCCCCAGAACCGGCATAATTCACACTCCGGAGAGGTGTAGTCCGACGGGAACAGACGGATCTCCCAGCCAATCAGCCTGTGGAGTCTGTGTTCCGCTCCGTTGGCCAGCCACTCATCGGCAAGCGCCCAAGCCTGGAAGTGTCTACGTCACGGGGAAGGGCACAGAAGAGGCCGCCTTCTTCCCGGTCCTAGGGGTTTTGGCCAATGACAATCACGAGTTGCTCCATGAATGACGAGGCGGTGACCCAATGGGGTTCGGGGGCGGGCCTCGGGGGCTCTATGCGTGTTGCGGGGCCCTGGGGCCGGGGCGGCTGTTTCCTGTCCTGGTGCATGGTGGTCGGACGAAGGAATTGTTGGAAAATTTTCTCGGAGGTTCGTATATAAATGTGTTTTTACCCAGTGTGCATTATTCTCCACCCGGCCGCCGCCCTCAGCGCAGTGCGCCGGCTAGGGCTCCGGCCTCGGCCCCCCGGCTCCGTAGCTGGGCCTTGGGGGCCGGGCGCTGAGGGCGGCGGCCTGGGGCAGAAGCGGAGTTTATTAATAACTCGCGGCGGCGGGTGCAGCTCGGTGGGACTCCCTCCTCGTCCACGGGCCGCTCTCTCGCCCTTCCCTTCGCCCCTCCCCCCGGCCTCGAGGGACGGCCGCCCGCCCGCCGGGGAGGGCGCGAGAGGGAGCGAGCGAGCGGGCGGGCGCGAGCCCCGGGGGGAGCCCGTGCCGAGCCGGAGCCGCGGAGCCGCAGCCGCCGCGGGAGCCCGAACGCCGCCCCGAGGCCTTTGGGCCGCGCTTCCCGCCCGCGGCGGCTGCCCATGCGGGCCGTGATCCCGGGCCTGCCGGCTCCGGGGCCCGGGCCCCCCGGTGGGTGGGGGGGCTTAGCCGCTGTCCGCAGTCGCTCTGCGCGCGCCCCGTGGGGCTGTTGATAATCACCGTCCTTACGGGGAGCGACACCGGGCGGGTGTCCCGGAGGCGTCAGCCGCCGGGCCCGCGGTTCTCTGGCCCCGGGAGCCGGGCCGGGTGCTCGGGGCGCCCTGCCGCCCCTCGCTGGGCTCTGCCCAAATAGCGTTTGCCAACTTTGCTGTGACCGTCCTGAGCCAGGGGTCGAGAGCCGGCCTCCGCCGAGCTCGCTTTTATTCCTGAACAAAAGGAACATTTGGAAGGAAGATGGGACACGAGGGTTGTCTTAAAACTTTACCCCTGCTCCGATGCTGCCGAGACTCGTTTTCTCAAATGTCGAGTAATTTGAAGTTTACGTTTTTGTTCTTAAGTTTGGAATACTTTGTTACATTTTAAAATAAGCTTTTCTTTTTGTGTGCTCGGCATTCGAGTTTGAAGTCTGGAGATGGTCTCGATGTTTTAACACAGTCGAGATCGTCAAAGTGAGAACATTTTGAAAAATCAATACACGTGGGAATAGGAGTCAGGCGATGAGGTCCCTTATTCCGGCTCGGCACCCTATCAGCTGTGTGATTTGGGGTCAGCCATTAACCACTCTCACCTTTTAGATTCTCATCAGAAGGTTTTTCCAGAAGCATAGTGTATATACCACAGGGCTGGAATTCAAGTCAGGATGCTTTGGTTCAGGTTCTCTTTTAGCTGTTTTTTTGTGGGCAATTTACTACTTTCTCTGTATTCTCATCTTTAAGATGGGCTTAATGTTATTTGGACTCCCTGCCTCAGGGTTTGCAAGGAAAACGATGTGAGTTTTTTTGGGAATGGTTAATATCCATGTGTTCCTACCTTTTGGTTGAGGTGAGGATCTAATGAGAACTATAAATGTGGATTATACTAGTCAACGTAAACCGCCTTGCATCTTACATTATACCTTTTGATCCTTACTACAACCCTGTGAGACGGGTAGTACCAAGCCTATCCCAGTTTTACAGATGTGGATAGACTCAAGTGGTTAGAATTGACCAGAGGTCGAAGCTAGTAATTAATCAAGTGGGACTCGACTCAAGTCTTCCATCTTCAAATCCACCACACCGCGGCAGCCTCTATAAAACTTTAAATGTGAGATATTTTATATTATGTAGTGATAATTTAATACTTGTATTGGGTACCTAGTATGTGTTAGATGCTGAGGGATTCAAAGATAGGAACTGGCTCTGGATAAGCTTATGTTCTAGTTAAAGGGATAGTACATGCACATAAGGAAAATCGTTATATAAGAGAGTGCAAAATGATACAGAAAAAAAATGGCTAAAGAGTTGACATTGATCCAGGGATTAGATTGTGAGCAGGGTTGTGACAAAAAAATGTAAAGGAGAAACGTTATACTAAGCTGGGAGAATAGGAAAGGTTAACTGTGATTGAAACAGAAAAACAGTAAAGAGCAAGGTAAGGGGCAGGACTGACAGATTTCAGTTGCAAGCCTACTAAAAATTTTGGACTTGGCTCCAATACTGTATCTTTTAAAAGGACTTTACTGATTCTCCAATTACCTCCAATTTATTTTTATTATGTATGTTTTTTGCATCGACCTATTCATCTGTGTATATAAAACTCCCTAAGTAAAATGTAAAGGAGGGTAGGAGTGTGTGTGGTTTTTTGATTTGTAAATGAGGATTGGGAGTGGTTTTTGGTTTTTTTTTTCCCTCTCCCTTTGTTTCGCCAGTGCTCTTGGCTCTTTTTGGGCTGGGGAAAGGGGTGTTTAAAACTGTGTTAATCAGATAAACATCTACTATGTGGGAAGAATGGGAATCATTCATCTTTGATAAGAACGGAAGAGTGGAGAACTAGAACCAGGGAGGCGGGTTAGGAAACCCAGTGGTACAAGAAAACAAAGTGTTTTCTTGTAAACAAGTAAACTGTTCTTGTAACAAGTAAACTGTTAGCCAGGAGTATGCTTTATTTAATGAAGGAAAAACCAAAACAGGAGAGGGAGGTTCTGATTTTTATTCTAAAGAGATGAAAGAATTTAGTAATCTTGAGGGTATAACATGGGACATCAGAGGATCAAGAAAACTTTGAAATTACAAAAGTTGGAAAGTTTTAGTAATCATCTAGTCCAATACCCTCCAAGTTTTAAATAACCTGGGGCCTAGAAAAATTATTGTCTTGCCAGAGACAGCATAGCTAGTTAGTGATATCAGAGACTAGACCCTGTCCAGATCCAATCCATTCATCCAAAGTGTTGCGGATGTAAAAACAGCATTTGGAGATGATGGGAGGGTGGAGGCTACCTGATCAAATAACATTGATTTGGCTTTTTCTTGTAAAGGTGACTTCACAGTGTCGCTACCAACTCTTGTTCCAGTGGTATTTCTTCATTGTATTTGTTTTTATAGTTTTATGTACATTGAAGAGTACCCTACAAATTTCCTATTTCCAATAAAATGTAAGCTCTTTGAGGATAGAAATTATCTTGGTTTTTTTTTCTTGATTTCCCTATATATAGCACAATGCCAGTGCTGTATATGTTCTGGGGATAGTATCCATGGATTCAATGTATAGAGAATCTATTTCTACCTTCCCTGCAACTTATAGAGAGTGATCTAGAGCAGTAGGGTCAAACTCAAATAAAACAGGAATTTGCTGGCCACATTAACTTAGAAAACTACAAATCAACATTATGTTGTTTTGTATTTTTGTTGATTTTTGCTAATTTTGTTGAATTTGCTAAAAATTTCCTAATTACTTTTTAATGTGATTTGAGGGCACACTCCTTAGTTTTGCTGGTGCCTGGGGGGAAGGGGCAAGTGTGGCAAGTGTGACACCTCTGGTCTACAGCACAGAGAAGTCAAGTGACTTGTCCAGGGTCATGTAGTAGAACTTGCATTTGGGTCTGCTCTCTCTGCCTACCATACCGTGCTGCTTCTCCAGTGAGACAGGAACCTGTCCAAGTCTACACCTGTGACTTCACTGGTATAGACGACTTTCGGTGAGAAAACTCCCATCACCAATGAAGATCAGCATTTGTTCCACAGCTTCTAGTCCTACAGAGTTGCCTGGGCACTGAGGTGAAACCACATGTCTCCTGTGTGTCAAGAGGCAAGACTTGGACCCAACTCTTCCCAGCATCTTGATCCAGGCCATCTCTCCACCATGCTTAGTGTTTCTTGAATTGAGCAGAATTTAATGTGAGCCATAGAAAGGTTTTTGTGTCAGCAGGATGGGCATTCTGTGGCCAAGCTATTTTTGAGAGTACTAACTTGGTGAGTTTTACAAGCAAGCAGATAAAGGCATTCATTTTCTCTTCTGGACAGTGATGGGCTTGGTTTGGATGACCAGAAAAAGGCCATTTCAGCTCCACACATCTGTGACTTGGGTTGTGATCTTATTGAAGGGCAGCATGTGCTAGATTACTTCTTCCCCAAAACTCAAAGACCTGATGCCCATGTATGGGCCACAGTCTTGAAGGCATTTGCCTTAATAGAATGAGAAGTCCCTGGACTGAGGAGTTGGGGAGCTCATGATTCTCATCCAAGCTCTGCTACTACGTTGCTGGGACTTTTGGACAGTTATTTCCATTCTCTACTGTTTTGCCTGTAAAAAAATAAGGTTGGATTACATTATCTTTGTGTTCCATGTTGATTGAAAAGACCCAAGGAAATGTGCTGAGAAATATATTATTTAATAACAACCTGTTTTTTAAAAATTCTTGTTGGAACAGTAAGGCTAAAATTAAAGGAGAAGCATTTTAATGAAGTCATTTTTTTTTTTACACGTCTGTAATGGAATCCCTAGCTCAGGGACCAGTTTATAGATTCAGGGTTACAGGAGGCTTGAGAAGCCATCTACTACAATGTGAACCTAACTTTTCCTCTACAACATCCCCCTGAAAGTGGACATTTGGCCTGCTCTTGAAGATCGCAAGTGAAGGGGCTACCAACTGCCTCCTAAGATAGCCCATTCCACTTTTGATAGCTCAAATTGGTACAAATTTTTTTTTTCGGGGGGGGGGGGGGAGATTTAGCCTAGATCTTTCTCTGCAACCTTTTTGCCCTTTGCTCAGTCTTATCCTTTGGGGCCAAGTGGAAAAATCTCATCCCTTTTCCTTGTGGCAGTTCTTCATATAATTAATGATTGTTGTTATGTCCTTTCTGTGGTTTCACTTCTCCAGGTTAACTACTGCCAGGGCCTTTAACTGTTTTTTGTATGACGTTGTCCAGGCCCTCTCATAATAGCCATCCTCCCGATGCTATCCATCTTGTCGATGACTTTCCTAAAGTGGGATGGCTATAATCAAGCACAAAAATACAGATGTAGTCCAACTGGGACTCTCACCTCCCTAGATCTGGAACCTGCCTCTTAGTAAAGCCCAATTATCTCATTAGCATTTTTGACCATCAGTTATTGACTCCTAGTAAACTTGCAGCACCCCAGGAGAAGGGGTCTGCTGATGACTTCAAGGCTCCTATTCCAGCATTTCCTCTTTCCCTTCTCAGGGAAAGCTTCAGCTTCGACCCCTCTAGGGATTGGATTTGGAACCCTCCTCCCCTGGAGTCTGCTGCCATCTGTGGAGGGATGTGGAGGGAGTACCTTCATTACCCTTGAGTGCCGTGATGGGTGGCAGTAGGCTACTCCATTTGTCTTTGGACCCTAATCTGCTGTAGAGCCTTCCTTTGCTATTATTAAAGAAAACAGTGCCTCAGACATCACTACTCTAATATTTGTAAGAAGACCTTAACTATTGCCATAGGACCCTGGAGGATGTAGTCAACTGCTAATTGTCATCGCATGGCTAGCAGATTTTATATTCATCTCATCTATTAGTCTTAGCTATTCAGTGGTTTTTTGCTGTCATGAGATATAAATTCCATTCTGCTACCAGGTACTTCTCTCTCATTCTCCATCCACTTAATCACTGTTCTGCCTTAGTCCCTGTCTTCCCTTCCATTTTGCTTTCTCATCTGTTACAAACTTCCTTTCACCCTAGATCTGATCCTCTCGTGCTTCCTTCGTCTTGCATTCACTTGACTTACTCTAGGAGATATTGTAGCCTTGGGTCACCTTCTGTAGTAACAGTGGGCCTCACACTGGATCAGGAGGAGGAGGAGCTTTACTCTTAATGTCACTGCACCCCTTCCTCTGCTGCTGTCACTCAAAATCCTCTGCTTTTGAGGTTCACTGTCATTCCTGAGGTTATTTTGGGAAGTTAATACCTTTATAAGTTTACCCTCATTGGGACTCAGTTTCCTTATCTAAGAAATGAGTTGGTTGGACTGGATAAACTCTGTGGTCCTTTCCAGTTCTGAAGTTGGTCTTAGGATTGATCCGTAAAGGAATTCAGTACAGTCTTCATCTCCATTCCAAAACCCCCCAGTATTGAGGTTGATGGTCTCCTGAACAACTGGCTGCCCAGTTAATTAGCAGCTGACTCCCATAACCTATTCATTTTCATTCTACCTCAGATACCCACAGACAGGGATGGTCGTACTTTGGATCTCATTACCACAAGTTGTGTTACTTTGGTGATGCTGAATTCTGAAATTCCCCTGTTGATCATAATTCCCTGTCATTCCATATCTCTGTTGTCTTCTAAAAATGCCCTTTGTCCTCACCTAGGTCCATCTACCCTGCCTTATGGTCCCAGGCCATACTCCCCATTTTGGCTTTATTTTCTTTAGGTTTGTACATTGGGAGGCAGTATGTACAGGGGAAAGAGCATTGACTGAAGTCAGATGATCTGCCTCTGTACAACCTTGGGCAAATCACTTCATTCCCCATCCAAGGCGTCCTGGTTATAGTTTTTCTTTTGATCTGAATCAATCAATAAGCTTTTATTAAGAGCCAGGCACCATGCTAAGTTTTGGGGATAGGAAGAAAAAACAAACAGTTCTTACTGTCGAGTTTATATTTTAACAGAGAAGACAACATTTATACATCAGAACATACAAGATTAGTATAGAGTAAATAATTATAATAAGCGTTTATATAGCACTTTAAGGTTTGCAAAGTACATAGGCTAAATTTATAGGTAACCTTGAGGGGGTGGCACTATTGGGAAGACCCGGAAAAGCTCTGCGGAGCAGATGGCATTTCAGTCAAGCCTCCAAGGAGGGCAGAGATTCTAAAAATCAGAGGTTAGGAGGGTGAGCATTCCAGACATAGGGAATAGTCCATGCAAAGACATGGATATCAGAGATGGAATGTGCTGTGCAAGAATAGCAAGTAGACCCATGTGACTGAATTGTAGAGTACATGTAGGGGAACAGAAGGTAAGATGACAAAGAAGTTTTGAGTGCCCCCAAAAGAAGGACTTTATATTTGATCCTGGAAGTAGTAGGGAGCCACTGGTGTCTATTGAGATGGGAAGGGATGACTTGATGGTTAGGCCATTGCCTTTGGCAGTGGAGGATGGATTGGAGAAAGGAGGGACTGGAGACAATTAGAAAGCCATTGTAGAAGTGTAGTATGGGTGAGAAGTGGTGCAACCTAAACTAGGGTGGCAGTTGTATGTACAAGTGTAGAGAAAGGAACTTAGGAGAGAAATGTAGAGAAAGAACTATAAGATTTGTCAGCTGATTGGATTTGTGGAGTGATCAAGAGTAATTGAGGCTGCCAACCTGCGTGACTGAAAGAATGGGGTCTTCTCAACAGTAATAGACTAGTTCAAAAGAGGGTAGGGTGTTGGGGGGGGGGAGGAATGTGTTTTAGACTTGTTGAGTTTGAGATGCCTGTGGGATATCCATTTCAAAATGTCCAAAAGTCATTTGGTGATATGGGACTGGCACTCAGAAGAGAGACTAAGGCTGGATATAAATACCAGAGAATCATCTGCTTAGAGATGATTGATAATTGAACCCATCGGAGCTGATGAGATTATCTAGTGAATAGAGAGAACTAGAGAGAAAAAAAGGGCTTAGGGCAAAGACTTTGGAGGCACCAATGGTTAGTGGGTGTGGCATGGATGGAAGACACTGGGAAAGAGCAATTAGACAAGTGGCAGGAGAATCAAGGAAAGAGTAAAGTCAATGAAAACCGAGAGGAGAGAATGTCCAGGAAGAGAAAGTGGTCAGTATTGTTATATGCTACAGAGAGATCAAGAAGAATGAAGATAAAGAGGAGGCCATAAGATTTGACAAGTAAGAGATTGTTGGCAACTTTGGACAGCACAGTTTCAGTTGAAGGATGAAGTTGGAAGCAAGGTTGTGAGGGTTAAAAGAGTGAGAGGAGAGGGAAGGGCAACACTGATTGAAAAGTGGAGACTTTTCAAGCAAAGAGTTTAGCTGAGAAGGGAGGACAAGGTATAGGACTAATAGCTGTTAGGCATGATAGGATCAAGAAAGATAATTAAGAATGGGCGATACAAGAGCATATTTATAAGTGGTAGGAAAGGAGCCAGTAGGCAGGGGAAAAAACTGAATTAGAGAATGAAGGAATGAATGAAGATGGGTGCAATCTACTAGAGAGGAAGAGATCAAGGGGACACATAAAGGGGTTGGCTTTGGCAAGCAGAAGATCAACCTTGTCATCAGAAACAGGAATGAAGGGATAGTGAAGGTTGAAGTCAGTGGAGAGAAGATGGAGCTTTTGGTGAATATGGCTTCAGTTTTTTCTGTAAAGGATGTGATAAAGTCTTCAGCAAAGTCAGCAAGCAGGGGAGTCTTAAGAGAAGGTTTGAAATATCTACCTAGGTGAGTGGGATAGAGGATCAGTGAGGAGTAGGATTGTCCATCCTATGCCAAAGTAATTTTCCTTATGTACAGATCTAACCATGCAGTTTCCCTATTCATCCGACTCTAGTGGGTTCCTGTTGCATCTGGGATCAAATATAAACTCCTTCATTCAGCTTTTAGAGCCCCATACAAACTGTCCCCAGCTTACCTTTCTAGGCATTACTCCCTCTCTGCCATTCCGCCAAATCTGACTTTCTCTGTGCCTTTCACTCATAGCACTCCATCTCCTAGCCAAACACCATGCCTCGAATGTACTTCTTCCTTACCTTCACCTCCAAGAGCACCGCTCTTAACCTTTAAGATGCAGCTCATCTTATGCATGAAGACTTCCCTGATTCCCAACTGCTATTGTTTTCCCTCCCAAACTACCTTATGTTTAACTACTTTGTATATATTATATTCACTATATATTTATGTTGCATGTATTTTTGTATATACTTGTCACCTCCATTAGAATGTAAGCTCTTCGTGAGCAGGGGTTGTTTCTTTCTTAGTACTTGTATCCCCAGCACCTGGCCCATAGGTGCTTACTAAGTGCTTATAGATTGATTGGTTAACTATAAGGAGTTATGTGGTGATTTAAGCTGTCACATAGCTCAGTTGAGATGAGCTCCCATATATGGTAGTATGTGCCAGACACTGACAAAAAGATCAAGAGGGTAGAGTTTGGGGGGGAGGGGGAATGTGTTTTAGTCTTGTCTCTGCCTTTAAGGAACTTGATGTTCTACATAGAGAAGTACATACCAAGTAAGCAGTAGGGTAGTTGGGAGAGTGGGTTCAGGAAGGGAGGTGGTCACTCAGTCACTAGCTTTATTTAAGCACCTACTCTGTTGGAAGCACTGTGCTGAGTGCCAAGAAAGTCAAAAGACAGTCACCTCTGCCCTCAAGGAGCTCACGATCTAATGGGGGAAACAGCATGCAAGCAAGTATGTACAGAAAAGCACTATACATGGGAAAGAATCACCAGAGGAGAAGTAAAAGGCACCTAGAGGGATTGGGACAGGCTTCCTGTGGAAGAGACGATTTTAGAGGGACCTTGACGTGGCACTTGAGCTAAGTCTGGAAGGGAGAGAGCTAGTTACCTCATCTACAAAATAGGAATAATAGTAATAATAAGTATTACCTAGCTCACAGGGTTGTCCTGAGGAAGCGCACATCGTAATTATTAAAGAATTGTGGAAATGTGAGTCATTAATACACATTTTATGTTTAAAAAAAAAAAGACCAATTACCACGTTGTCAGGTGTAGTTATCTACCATTATCTACCTTTCATTTAGAAATTCCTATTCTTCCTCCTTACCTCCCTTCTTTTTTGGGCAATGGGTCATTTTATCATTTACATTTTATCAACTCCTTTGAGCTTTGGAGCTAGCCTGCTGTGCTCTCCACCCACCCACCCACCCACCCATTTTAGTGATGGGGTTATTGTAGGTATCTGATCAGCATAGCCTGCTACAGCTTAGAACTTCAGAGCTCAAGAAATCCATCCCTTCAGCCTCCCAGGTAGCCGGGATTTACTGGCATGTTCCACCACACCCAACATTTTAAAATATCTTAGACTTCAAGTATCTTAGCACACGAACCTCCCTGTTTAAGGTCCTGTGTGAATACTGCTTTGAGGAGAATGAAGTATCTTAACTATTGGATACTAGGAGCTATGTGTAAAGTGCTGGGGAGAAGACCCTCTCCTCTGTTCCTTCCATTGTCAGTGTGCCCAGGGTTGGCCCCTGAGACAGAGTACAGTAGCACTGTTCCCAAAGCACGAAGCCCAGTGGGAACATTCATCGGAGCTGGAGAGTATCATGGATGACAAGGGTGATAATTAAAAAAAAAAAATTAACATATAACATGAAATGCCTTTTGGAGAAAGTAACACCTAAGCTTTGAATTTTCATTAAGACGTGAAATAGTGCACATTTAAATTGATGTGACCATCCTCTTCCTCCTCATCTCAATGAAAGAAAGCCAGAGCACATTACTTACCTTCACTCTCCTCTCTTGTCCTCCTCATTTTTCCTAATTCTGGTTTTTGACATATACTCACCAACTTGCTCATTATAGAATTTTGCCTTCAAAGCCCAGGGTTTCTTCTCTTGCCTTGTGGTCCAGGATATTCCTTTCTCACCCATCAGCAGTTGTCTTTAAGCTCCTTGATCCAAAATTGTTCCCCTGATGGGAGCTCGGAGCTCAGTCCCCAGGTGTCAGCTCCTCCCGCCACTTCTCCTCCCAGGCTGTCTTTCAGGTCCCAACTGCCATTCCCAGGCAGCAGATTTCAGCTTCCCATTTCTAACTGCCAGCTTGCGTCAAGCGTCCCATTTCTGAAGGGTCCTAGAATCTTACACAACCTTCTGGTTCTAATATTTCATTCTCCAGTTAAAGGGCCCCACCCCAGATAAATAAATAAACATGCTGTCTACCTGAAAATTAGATACATGGTTCTTTTCCTACAACTTATTCTCTGGTGTCAGAATCTAGTAAAGTCTATGGAAACTTTCTACTACTTCTGCTAATGTATTCTCCTTTGCTCCTTTGAGTTAAATTTCATCAGTGTGATGGAAGAACTTCCACTGTGTACCTGCATATATTTAAATGTACTTAAAGATTTTTCCTAACGCTGTCATGGGATCAGCAGTTGCTCCCAAATAAATGAATTTATCCTTGTCCTTGTTTCACCGTATTAAGAAACTGATTCCTCAGTTCCTGTGTAAGGAAAAACATCTGCAGTGCTGTACTCGCAATTAAATTATCACGATTAAGTTAAATAGAAGAGAGGATTTGCCAGTAGTACAAGCTGTAAAACATTGAAGTGAGTAACTAACAGGTTGTGGAAAGATGCACTCTGGCTCTCGACTGTGTGAGGTGGATAGCCAAGATGCCAGAGGACCAATGATGAAGCATTTCACCCATCTCTGCACCTACAAGTGATGCACTCAGGCTACAGAATGAGACATAGTTTTTTGGGGCTGTGACTGATGCAGAAATTTGTTTTGCTCAGCAATGTGTATTTGTTACAAAGGCTCGGGTACTTCTTTTTTCTTTTTTTTTTTTTTTTCTTTTTCAGCTGGGGAGTGGGTTGGAAATGAGAGAGAGAAAACAGATTTTTGTTCACTGAAAAAAATGAAATGAAAAAATTTTAATAGAACTGTTATAGAATTAAAATATGATTGTTAACATTTTTAAATTGTTGTTTAAAAAGTTGTTAAGCCTACCTGGTGTCGTGGATCTGCACATGACCCCTCAATATTTTTCTAATTTTATGAGTTAAGAAAGAGAGAGGACATGCACAAGAATGACCCAAGATGAGATGTTAGCCAGTTGTGATTCCTGTTTGAGAGGATGCCCTAGATGAGGTGGCAGAGTAGTGGCATGGAGAGACTTTTCATCCAAAGGAAGACCTTCCTTCAGGCTCTGGCTTTGCTGCTAATGAGATGAGTGATCTTTGGGTATTGCTCTGGATTCCCCTCTGAAAAAAGGATATGAATATTGACAGGGCTGTTAGGAGGAAGGCACTTTGTAAGTGGTCAGTCTATTTATAGACATAAGCTATTAATATATGTAACATATTGTAACAGAATAATACTGTAAGGGGGCCAAAGGCGCTGTTGGAATGGCCGGGATGCTAGCTGAGGATTTGTTAGTCATGCTTAACTGGCGGTGTTTTATCACCTTCATGAGGTTTATCAGAACTTCAAAATAATTTTTTATGGCAGACAAATGAAGAGGATCGTGTGTGTTTATCCCAAGCCTCAGAAAACCACAGCATGAGTTCTCAGAGGGAGGCAGGGAAATCATGAAAGTCCTTCCCCCTGACTCAGACTGGAGTAAGGGCTAGAGACTCTCCCTCCTGGCAGAGGGGTGAAGTTCTTCAGGCAAGCTCACTGTCTGTGGGGCCCTTCTGGGTCTGCTTGAAAAAGGCCCCAGATTGGAATGCTCCTCTGCCCATATCCCTAGCCTGGCTGCTCTAGCTCTACCCCTCCTGCAGGCTGGAGCCTGAGCTGCTTAGGCTTGGGAGTAACACCTGCTGGAGGCGGAGCCTGGCAGTGATGACAGAGGCCCAGGCCAGCTCTGCTGAAGGACACCTGAGGATAGGAGACAAGGGAGGCCTGTAGAAATACTCTAGTAGCAACATGGGGCAGCCCACCCTCCTTCCAGGGGCGGTCCTCAGAGCCTGGGAGTCAATAGTTTTCCATTGGTTTATGAGGGATTAAGAAAGATTTTTTCATGCCTTTCTGTTGTTTGGTTCAAGTAGGTGCTTTGTAACTGAATGCAAGTGGTTTGCCATGTCAGTACTACATGGGATCTTCAACCAAGAATGGCCTTTCCACAGACGTGTCAATCATCAGGGAGAAGTGAGAGGATCCGGGTTTTATAACAATAATTTAAAAATTATCTCAGTGAACCAATCACAGTGAAAATGAGTAGGACTCTGCTAGGAATCTACACTGGCAGTATTGGATTAACAGTAGGCCATAATAAGTCTCTCTTCGTAAACCAACACAGACCAAATAAAAATGATCACTTTCTCCGAAATAGTGTTTTCATCAATTAGATACTTAGATGCATGATCCCCCTACCTCCAGGAGCACAGATCAAAACTTTTATCCTTGCTCTTTCATCCTGTATGATTTTCTTCCGTCTTTGCATAAATTCTCCATAGGGAATTCCTCCATATCGACCTTAGTTATGTTTCTGCTTCAGGGGTAAGGCGCAGTCCTTAGCCATGTCCTCAGACTACAGGACGTTCATTTCTAGTCATGTGTGTCTATGATGATTTTATATTCCTAATAACGTTTAAAAGCAGAAATCCTTCCATTTTTATTTTCTATTATTCTGTTTTAGGAACAGTCTGTTTCCTAGTTCGCTTGAATTGAGTTGTTGGTCTGAACCATAAATTCTCTGGTACAAACCAAACCAAACTAACTTCATGAAGGAGTCATTGTTCTCTTGACTTTTCTCATCAGTCTTCATGCCAGTCCAGACAATACTTTGATAACAGTGTAGCTTAATATTGAGCTGTGGTTGGAGAGAGATGTTTCATCTATTAAATTAAAACCGTTACCATTTTTGCTATGGTTCAGTTACTAGGGATATAAACCAAATACTCCATTGGTGTGATTGCAGGCTAGTAGTTTTAGGACAATTTGCTGAAAATAACTGCAAATGAATTTGAAATTGATTTTAAAACCAGTGTTATAAACAATATTCTTAAAAGTCTAGTCATTTGATGGGGCAGCTAGGTGGCACAGTAGATAGAGCACTGACCCTGAAGTCAGGAGGACCTGAGTTCAAATCTAGACTCAGACCAAACACTTGACATTTACTAGCTGTGTGACCCTGGGCAAGTCACTTAACCCCAGTTGCCTAAAAAAACAAACAAAAAAAAAAAAGTCTATTTGGGATTGGGCCCTAGCAGCCATCCTGGCCACCAAATGGCTACCACAGATACTTTTTTTTGTGGGGTATATGTCCCTTAAAATACTCAAAATATATTTAAAATTGAAATGCATCAAATCTCACTGCAAATGAGCAATTTATTTTCTATAACTCATTGCTTAGATTTGCTCTAAAATAAAGGTTTAAGTAGAAATGTACTTGCTAGTAAATACCTCCACCTTATTTTTGTCTTCATCTCACTTCTGCCGCTTTTCCTACAAAAGTGAACACAAAGCCCCTCAAGAAGAGGAAAATTACTGGAAGTCACCAGATGTCTCCTCCCTGCCTTTCATTTTCCCCGACATTTGTTGGGAGAGAGCTTAAATCGGAGAATGTATGCTTGTTGAGGTTTCATACTAGATAGGACAGTCATACAAACAGTTGAGGTCTTGTGGCTGACAAGACATAAACAGTTGCACAATATTTCCATTTTAGCTTGTTTTTACTTAGTCGTTCATTCAACAAACATTTGCTGAGGCCTAGTACTTTGCTGTGGAAGGACTTGCCTTTTTTTTTTTTTTTTTTTAAGGTAGTTGGGGTTAAGTGACTTGCCCGCAGTCGCACAGTGTGCTAAGTGTCAAGTGTTTGGTCTGAGGCCGGATTTGAGCTCAGGTCCTCCTGACTTCAGGGCCAGTGTTCTATCCACTGCACCACCTAGCTACCCCTCTGCTTTTCAGTCTTGGCTCTGCTCCCTATTTCTTGCCAAGTTCTGGTGGGTGAGTGACTTAAACTTGCCTGAGCCTTACTTAGATAGTCTGTGACAAGGTCAGAGAGATGACCTCTGAGATCCATTTCATCTAAATTTGAAATCCTCCAATCGGTCAATTAATTTATTTTATTTAATTAATTTATTTAATTTTATTTATTTAATTTAGTTTTGTTTTTCCATTTATATTGTTGTACTTACTATGTTATCCTTCTGGCTTACTTGACTCAATTACTGCAATTTATTAAGCCCTGCCAGATACCAGGCTAAAGCTGGAGGGAGGGGAGGAAGAAAAGCATAAATAGTCTTTGCCCTCAAGGAGCTTACATTCCAAGGGGGAGATAAGTACGGGAAGAAGAACTTCAAGATATTTGTAGAATAGATAGGAAAAAACCTTAGCTGGAAGGCACTAGCACCTGGGGAGACTTGGAAAAGCTTTCCTGAAGAAGGTGGGGTTTGATTTGAGTCTTGAACACCAGGGATTCTGTGAGAAGAGAGGGCATTCCAGGCATGAGGTACAGCCAGGGCAAAGGTACAGAGATGGGAGATGAGGCATAGTGTGTGAGGAACAATAAGTAGGTCAGTATGGCTGGGCTTTGGAGGACAGTAACACGTAAGAAGCCTGGAAAGATAGGAATGGGCCACATTGTAAAGAGCTTTAAATGCCAAATAGAGTTTACATTTAATTCTTGAAATAATGAGCCTCTGGAGTTCACTGAGGATGAGAATGCCATGGTCAGAACTTTGGCAGCTTTGTGGAGGATGGACTGGAGTCGGGGGGAGACTTGAGGCAAGAGACCAACCAGAAGGCAATTGCACTACTCCCAGGTGTAAGGTAACAAGGGCTTGTACCAGAGGAGCACCTGAGTGAGTGGAGGGAAAGGGGCTCCCACTTGAGATGTTCTGGATAAAGAAACCACAAGAGTCGGCAACTAATGAATGTGGGGCATGAGGGGTATGTGGGCGAGGGTGCAGGCTGGCACTAAGGTTGTCTGATCAGGCTCAGTCCCACAGGGTGGTGGGGAGGGGTGGATCTGGAGATGGATGGATGGGTGGATGAATAGATAAATAGATAGATGAAAACAAGGTAAAATGGAGTAATTTCAAAGGATTGGTTCAAAGTACTGTTCAGAAGAGGAAAAGTTCACTTTTGGCTTGGAGTGAGGAAGGATGCCAGCAGGGAAAAGGATGCTTAAAAGAAGCATCTGAGATGAGTCTTGAAAGACAGGTAGAGTTTGAGCAGAATAGATGGGAGAAAGGCATTTTGATTGTGGGAACTGTATTCCCTTTCCTTTCCTTTATTTTTTTTTTCCTTCCCTTTACCATAAAAAGAATGTTTAACAGTTTTTAATTTTATTAAAAGGGTCAACTAGGTGGCACGATGCATCAAGTGTCCAGTCTGGAATCAGGAAGACCTAAGTTCAAATCTATCCTCAGACACTTTATTTGCAGAAAAAAACTGTGTGTGTGATTAGCTGTGTGACCCTGGGCAAGTCACTTAACCCTATTTGCCTCAGTTTCCACATATGCAAAATGAGCTGGAGAAGGAAATGGCAAAACTCTCCAGTATCTTTGTCTAGAGAATCAGACACAACTGAAACTACTGAAAAACAACAATCTTATTAAAATAAGTAGCTTCGGGGCAGCTAGATTGTGCAGTGGATAGAACACCGGCCTTGAAGTCAGGAGGACCTGAGTTCAAATTCAGCCTCAGACCAAACACTTGACATGTTCTAGCTGTGTGACCCTGGGCAAGTCACTTAACCCCAATTACCTAAAAAAAAGCCAAAAAAATAAAATAAGTAGCTTGTACTTGGTAAATACTCTTTTTTTTTTTTTTACTGTATTAAATAAATAAGTTAAGACACAGGCCTCCTCTTCACTGTCATGGAACTTTTCCAGTAACAAAGAAAAATAGTTAAAGCAAAACCAACCAGCAGAATAGCCACATTTGAGTGAAGGCAGTCAGCATTCTGTCCCCATAGTTCCCCTCCTTTCTCCTGAGAGGAGGAAGGTGTGATTCATTATCTGTCCTTTGAGATTAAATGAGGTTATTACAATTACTTAGAGTTTAGTTTAGTTTTGTTTTTCCATTTATATTTTTGTACTCACTATGTTATCCTTCTGGCTTACTTCACTCCACATTAGCTAATGGGATTGTCGGGTCATAGAGACCTCACATACAGGTCTTCTCATATTTCTTTGAGTTCCTCTTATTTCCTACAATCCAACAATAAGCATTATTAGATGCCTGTTCAGTACCAAGTACTGTTAGATACTATGGATGCAGAAACAAAAATGAAACCATCCCTGTTCACAGAAAGTTTTTATTGCATCGTGAAGACAGTGTTTAATAAGTATGTACAAAATAAATACAAGCCAACGTATATGGGGAGGGGAGGTACTAGAAGTTGGAGGAGGGAGGTTTAGGAAGGCTTCATGTAGACAGTGGAACTTGAGGTGAACTTGGAAGAAAACTGGTTTTAAGTGGTGGAGGTGAGGGAGGGAGTTCATTCCAAGGGTGAAGAGTAGACAGCCAACGAAAAGGTGGGAGATGGAGTGTCATCTGTGAGGAAGAATAGGAAAGCCAGTTTGGTCGAACTGGAGAATTCATGAAAGGGGGTGTAAGTAATAACCCTGGACATGTGAATTGGGACCAGTTGATGAAGAGGTTTGAATGCTAAACAGAGGAGTTTCTATTTGACTCTGGAGGTGACAGAAACCACTAGAGCCCATGGGCACACTCTGTGATGGGTGGATTGGAACAGAAAGAGACTTGATGATTGGGAAAGGCATCATGGAGGCGGACCCAACAGGTTCTGGAAAAGGAGAGAAGGGTTCAAGATGAGCCAGGGTTTCAGACCAGACTGGTCACCTAGGCGGGGCGGGTGCCATTAATGGAAATATGAGACTTGGGAAGTTTAGAGGAGAAATTCTGTTTTTGACCATTATGTTCAACATCATTGTTATTGTAATTGTTATTTACCATGATCCCTTCCAAGTTTCTTCTCCAGTTCTGGAGCTGCAGTAGTGGTAAGGAAGAGTGGAAAAGGTGGCCAGGCCCAGCAGCTCTGCCTCTCCTCAGACCCTAAGTTAGCCAGGTGCGCCAATCCTCTAAGCCAAGGGAGCACCGTCTGTTTGACCAAAGACCAGGGAAGCTTTTGGGGGATTCTTTAATTCTCTTAAGTGCATAGGAATGACTGATTCTACCAGGGTGAATCCAGGCATAGGAGCAGGCTGGCGAGGAAGATTTGGGGGGATAATTCTTGGGATCTCTCCAAGTCATCCTATAGAAGAGGATTCTGAAGACTTAGCCCTGGCTTGCTAACCTAGTGAGTGTGAAAGGGATGATGAAAATCTCTGTAAACTATTGTGTTTAGAATTTTATTTACAAGATCACTGGGTTTTGTTTGAATGCTCCAAAAGAACATGACTTGGGATTTGGGGCTCATCCACTTAGCTTTGCATATTAAGCAAAATTGTGAGTGAGGTAAGAATCTTCTTAGACTTTCCTTGACAGTTTTATAAATCTGGAGGAAAGACGTGTTAGTGTATATACTTTCCTCTCGTGTACTCTCCTTTTGTTTCTCAGGTGATTCTGTTTTTATTTCAGGGTAAACCATGTTATTAGCCCAGATAAATCGAGATTCTCAGGGAATGACTGAGTTTCCTGGAGGGGGAATGGAGGCTCAGCATGTCACTCTTTGCCTGACAGAGGCAGTAACTGTGGCAGGTGAGTAAGCTCACTATTTAACATCTAAAGCAGTTCAATAACACGGCCAGAAACGTAGACCTAGAGCAAAGGGATTTGCAGTTTGATCAGCAAAGCATAGAATAAGAATATGGAGAACTGAACACATTGCCAGATATAGTTGGGGTTTTTTTGGGGGGGGAGGGAAGGAAGATTCTGAATACTTACTCCAATACTTATTCTGAATTAGTTGTTTAAAATGTTATACACCTAGTCCTCAGCACCTCCAAGTTGCAGTGCGTTCTACGAGGCCCCCGATTGTTAGAGTGTTTTAAGTCATGTCCATGCAGCATTGCAGGTTGTTTAGGGGAGCTCTCCCCTGACTGTTGAGAGATACTTTTTTAAGTGGATGAAGATTGCAGAGTGTAATTTCTGGTCGGTCCTTACGTGAGAGCTGTCATTATTTACCCAGAGGTGTACAACTCGGTGGATCCTCAAGTTTCAGAGCAAACTTAAGCCTTTTAAAGTGATTTTCCGTGGTTCCAGACAGGAACATCCCAGGAATCTTCCTGGAGCTCTGCCCACTGTAATCAGACATTGAATTGAGCTCAACAGCCTGGGCCTGGTCCATTTAGTTTTTGTGTCCTTGGTGAGATCTGTAGACCTAGTTTTCCTGTTCTCCAAAATGAAATGACTGGATATTTTGGGGGTTTGTTTATTTTTTTAAAGAATTGTGGGGGGGGTTAAATTTTTTCTCAATTACATGTAAAAACTAATTTTTCACATTCATTTTTTATAATTATTGAGTTCTAAATTCTCTCCCTCACCCCTTTTTAAGATGGCAAGCACTTTGACATGGATGTTGTTTTTCATAGATGGGGACAATCTGGAAAACATGGAAGGTGTCAGCTTGCAAGCAGTGACCCTGGCAGATGGCTCCACAGCTTACATCCAGCACAATCCCAAAGGTAGGGACAGCCTCTGTGGCTGAGTAACCACCACTGCTGGTTGGCCTCTGTCAGGGAGTGCTGCTGCTCTCGTGGTTTCATTGCCCTTTTGGTGGGAGCTTGGTTTCTCAGAGGCAGCTAGAGAGCCCAGCGGCGAGAGTGCTGAACTAGCTTTGTGACCCTGGACAAGTCACTCACCTTCTGTCTGCCTCAGCTTCCACATCTGGAAAATGTATACAATAACACCACCTACCACAAAGGGTGATTTTTTTTTTGCAGATCAAATGTAATAATATGTAAAGTACTAAACAAATCTTAAATTATTATATAAACATTAGCTTTTATTGTTGTCATTGATGTTGTTATTAATATTTTCATGCACACATCTCTTGCTCCCCAGTGGTACTGCATGGCATATGCTTATGTTTTAAACTGAAGTGGATTAAAAATAAATTTTGTTTTGAGAAATGTTGTTACAACTTGAAGACATGCTGGGATATCACAAAACCAGATTTCAGGAACTCTTTGCCAGCTAGACATTTATGGAGGGTAAGGCAGGGTAATCTCTCAGGTCCCTTCCTACCCTCAAAGCCCTGGGTATCTCTCACATATCTCAGATTGTAGGATTTTTTTTTAAAGATTATCCCTAAAAATATGACAGGCAAACTTGAGCATAAAAGTATGTACTTTAATTTTTTTATGGTCCTGGAGACTAAAGGCGCTGTCTATTTTGTGCCTCCCAGATAGTGAGAGCCCAGCCCCTCTCAGATCCTCTATCCATGGAGGGAAGCTTCTTCAGCTTGTTACCTGTGGGTCGATAGTGTTCCGATAGCCCCAGCAGGGTCACTGGGGACTGGCTTCTTCCAGCCCAGGGGCTGCTCACAAGTGTAGTGGTTCCTGCCTCTGAAGGCCTCATGGAGCCACAGATTGGAGAAGAAGTGAATCAGTAGAGGAGAAGCTTGGTCCTTTCTGCCTTTCCACAAGCTTCATCACTTCTTTAAAATTTCATGTATTTCAATGAACAAAAATCCTTTTCTCTCCTTCCCACGTATTCCCCCCACATAGCCACACCCACTGAACAGAAAACAAACAAAAACAACAGACAGCATAGTCTAGCAAAGCAGATTACTGCTGTGGCCGTGTCCCCCAGTCTCTCATTCTGCACCCCCACCAAATGTATTGTGGACTGCCTCAGAACTGGGGAGAAGAATAGCTAGTGTATGGCCATATAAGTTTAGTGTGCATTTGTTTATTGGTATCTGAATCTTGTGTTTCAGATGGAAAACTCATGGATGGCCAGGTCATTCAACTAGAGGATGGTTCTGCTGCCTATGTCCAACATCTTCCCATACCTAAGGGTAGTAAGTGTTTAAAAAACAATCATGGGACTCTCCTGATGGTCAGATTACTCTTCTAGGCTCTCTCCTGCCGTGCCTGCATGAGCCAAGGTCACCCTGTCCTTATTGTTAACAAAAGGAGTAGGTGTGAATACCACGCCCATTGGGCAATCCCAGATTGGGACCTCCCTCATTGCTGGTTGAACAAAATAGATGGCACTTCCTGGCTCTGGAGAGAAAGTGAATAGCTGTTCTAAACACGTTTTGTCCAGAATAAAGGCTTAGATATTTGTCTGTTTCGGAGGGTTTCCATGACTTAGCCCCTACCATTGGGTGGATGGCTTTTGTGTAATTATGTCATGATGCCAATTTGCTTTAATTAATTCACCCTGACATTTACTAACATAATTTAAATATGAAAGGGCTTGCAAGTAGAGTGTGTTATTTGTTCAGGTTTTTAATGCCCCAGTGGGATTCTTTTCCGTTTTTTTTTTTAATTAATTTATTTTGATTTATCAATAATCATTTCCATATGCTTTTGAGTTTAAAATTTTTCTCCCCCTTCCTCCCCACCACCCTCCCCAAGATGGCGCACAATCTGATATAGGCTATACATTTACATTCATATTAAACATATTTTCACATTAGTGATGTTGTAAGTAGAAATTAAAACCAATAGGAAGAACCATCAGAAAGAGGAAACAAAACTCAACAGAAGAGAAAAAAATTAGCGATTCGGCTTCCATAGTTCTTTCTTTGGGTGTGGATAGCATTTTCCATCACAGGGCCTCTGGGGATCCTTGTCTTAGATCCTTGTATTGCCAGGAAGGGTTAAGTTTATCAATATTAGTCATCATGCAACGTGGCTGTTACTGTGTACAACGTTCTCTTGGTTCTTCTCACTTCACTCAGCATCAGACCATACAAGTCTTTCCAGTTTTTTCTGAAGTCAGCCTGTTCATCATTTCTTATAGCACAATAGTATTCCATCACATTCATATACCACAGCTTGCTCAGCTATTCCCCAGTTGATGGGCATTCTCTCAATTTCCAATTCTTTGCCACCACAAAAAGAGCTGCTATGAATATTTTTGTACATGTAGGTTCTTTTCCCATTTGTGTGATCTCTTTGGGATATAGCCCTAGAAGTGCTATTGCTGGGTGGGATTCTTTTCTCAAGAAGATTATCAGAATGGGAAAATTGAAATCTAACTTTAAATATTTCTTCTGGAGCAGGGGACAGTTTGCGTTTAGAAGATGGACAGGCAGTTCAGTTGGAAGATGGAACCACGGCTTTTATTCATCATACCTCCAAAGGTAAAATAGTTTTTGGAACATGTGGGGGATACAACTAAAGGAGAAGGGGAAACTTGGGATAGACTTAGTATTTGAGTGAATAATTTGAAGGGCTGTTGTATTGAAGGAGGCCAGCTCATTGTGTGCAGCTTCAGGGAATGGGCCTTAGAAAGGGGCGGGTTTCCATTCTGTGTAAGGAAGAACTTTTTTTAACAATCAGAGCTTTCCTGCAGTGGAATGGGCTGATGAGCTCAGGATCCCTAGAAGTGTTCAAGCAGAGGCTGAATGTGAAATAAGTCTGAAAAAACAGGTTGGCACTAGATGTTGGTGGCTCAGAATAAGGAGTTTGTGTTTTATCTTTATAAATAATTAAATGTGGGGATTCTCATCTCCAACCAAAAACTTGGCTCCTGCCCCCAAGAAACTTATATTCTACTGGGGAACAGTAGCAAATAGAAGAGAATTTGAAGAGAAGGAGAACAATAACAACTGGGGGGCTCAGGAATGCTTCCCATAGTTTGGGGCACCTAAGTTAAGTTTTGAAGAAAGCTAAGAGTTCCAAAGGTCGTTGGTAAGGAAGGACCTTCCAGGCACTCTATAGCGCCGCCAAAGGCGAGCTCCTAGAAGAGATGGGAGGAGACAAACACTGAGCTCGGAGAAGAGCTGGTAGTCTGCCTTCAGAGTGTAGCAAAGGTCATCTGGAGATTGTGAAAGCCAACCTAAGGAGTGTGCTCTTTATCCTAGAGGCACAGTGGGAGGTTTTGAGGGAGGCTTTTGAGCATAAGAGAACATGGCAGGCCTGTGCCTTGGCAGGGTTATTTCGGCATTGATATGGCTTTTAAAGCATTTGTTTGTCAATTAAACTTAAGAAATGTTCATTAATTACTTACAATGCGAAGGGCACCTGCTTAGTACTGGCAACACAAAAGAGAAAAACGTTCTAGCTCCTGCCATCAAGTAGCTTACAATCTGGTGATGTTCTAGTTTGTATAATAATTGTGTTCGGCAGGGACTCTGTATTAGACTGTAAGCAACATGAGAACACGATGGGCTCATCATTATGTACTCCAAAACACTTAAGCCAGTGCTATACACATAGTAGGTACTCACCAAACAGGATTGCAGAGTTATAAGAGCCTTATGGCCATTTAATTCTCATACCTGAAAAACAATCCCTACTGCAACGTACTCCATAAGGTCGTCCACCTTTTGTTTGAAGATATCCAAAGAGGGGAACCCAAACACCTCTTCAGGCAGAACACTTTGACTTTTGGGTAGCTCTAATTGGTAAGAATTTTTTTTTAATATCAAGCCTAAATTTGTCTGTATGTATATTCCTCCCATTGTCCTCTTTCTGGACTCTGGAGCCCAGGAGAACAAGCCTGATCCCACTTGCACATAAAAACCTTTCAAATACTCGAGGACAGTTATCCTGTCCCTGAGTCTTTCCCGGGTTTTTCATCCACTTTTTATATGACATAGAGTGGAGGCCTTTCACCGTGCTGCTTGCCTTGGACACTCTCCAGGTTATCAGTGTCCTCCCAAAACTGTGGTTCCCAGTACCTGAGCATAATGTTCCATATATGGCCTGACTGGGGCAGGGTACGGGGAGTCCCTTACCTCCTTGCTTGTTGAATGAATTAATGAATGGTTCGGAATTAAAGTTACCACATACCTTTTTAAAGATAGAAATTGTGATTTGAGAAATAACTTGATTTTTCCACTTTATCATCATTTTTTCCTCTATCTTTGCCACTTTTATAGTGTTCTCCCTTCATTTGAAATAAATTCAGTTATAAAACATAATTCTGGAAGGTCACTTAGGTATTGTGTAACCCAAAGGAATAGCTGAAATTATTTATGCCTGTGCATAAATTAAATAATGTTAGTAAGATTTGCTTGATTACAGGTAGAAAGGTCAACAGATTGTGTGTGTGTGTGTGTGTGTGTGTGTGTGTGTGTGTGTGTGTGTGTATTCTTTTAGTAGTAAAAGCTAGGTCCTCTCCATGTTATTGTGATCTGCGTGTTCACGTTCCATCACTGTCTTATGTTTCTCTAAGATGCAGTGGTTATCATTTATTGTTTGCCAGATTCTTGTCATCTCTTCTAACAGTATTTTAACCTTGTATCTCAGACAGTTATGACCAGAGTGCACTACAGGCTGTCCAGTTGGAGGACGGCACCACTGCCTATATTCACCACACTGTACAAGTTCCCCAATCGGATACCATCTTGGCTATTCAGTCAGATGGTACCGTGGCGGGCCTGCACACAGGGGACGCCACCATTGACCCTGATACCATAAGTGCTTTGGAACAGTATGCTGCAAAGGTATGGGATTGGTTTGAAATGTGGTGGCTGTCAACTTCATCACATTATTATTAGCACCTCTGAGTAACCCCTGCGCCCCTAAAATGAAATTCTTTGAGAAGAAAAAAAAATAAGAGCTTATACTGAAAATTAACACAGATTTATAGGCTGCTCTCAGGTTTTATACAAGCCAGATATGGGAGATGTGATCTATGCCAAGACTAGTAGGTTAGGAAAACTTGCTGTCTCCCCTTTTCAGGGTTTTTTATTTTGTTTTGTTTTCTAAATAAGAACCTGCCTCCACAAACCATGTCTGTGCTCCCATTCCAGCTTTATCTCGCCTCACCCTCCTCTCCACACTCTTATGTGTTATCCAAACAAGTCTCCAGACATACTGGGTTCACACTGTACCCTGTACCTGGAAAACCCTCCTTCACCACCTTCATCCAATGAATTCCTATTCATTCTTTAAAATCCAAATCACTACCTCAAGAAAAATTTCCCAGATGCCCCTTCAGGTTTCAAATAGTACTCCAATTTGTAACTTCTCTATCATCTGCTTACCTCCATTTTGTAACTCTTTCATTCACTTACTGTGATTAGGCAGGCTAGTTTTGTCAGTATTTTTTTTCCCTCTCTACTAGACAGTAAACTCCCTAAGGACCAAAAAGGCACTGGATTTAGATCCTGAGAATCTGGGTTCAGATTCTAGCTCTGATTTTCAACACTTGTGGGACTTTAGGATCTCTGCCCCATGAGCATATGACCATGTATAATCTCAGCTTTGTTGCTCTCCAGAATATAGGGCTCTGCACACCATAGATATTTAATAAGTATTTATTATATTTAACTATTTAAATTAAAAATCAATGTCCAAGGGACATCATTCGTAGTGACTAAATAAAATAAGTGAGTATGAGAATGATTAGAAAGAGGGTAAGCAGATAGGGATACACAGAGGGGAAACTTAAAATCCTTGCAGGACTCCAGTTTGGCCTTCCTTGATGCCTCTGTACTGAAGTGATTTTTCCCTTTTCTTCCCTCCATGGTGCTTTCTTCCTCTTGGGCATTTTATATTATATTTTAATACTTTATATTGTGTTCATTTATGCCTGTTCCATAAGCTTTGTAAGGTCAGGGACTATTTTATTTTATCTTGGGGTTTCACATACCTCCCAGAACAGGGCCTTACATGTAGTAGGAACTCAGTAAATACTTGCTTAATTGAGATAATATGATTTGAACCCTGTTATGGATTATGAAACATAGGACCCACAAAATGTGCATCTTAGAAGTTGCCTTGTTTTCTTTTTGGTGACGCAATTGGGGTTAAATGACTTGCCCAGGGTCACACAGTTAGTAAGTGTCAAGTGTCTGAGGCCGCATTTGAACTCAGGTCCTCCTGACTCCAAGGCCGGAACTGTACCCACTGTGCCACCTAGCTGCCCCTGCTTTGTTTTCTTAATTAAAAAACACCTATTTTCTTTCCTTTATTTCTAGGTGTCTATTGATGGAAGTGACAGTGTAACTGGTGCTGGGATAATTGGTGAAAATGAGCAGGAAAAGAAAATGCAGGTATGGAAATTTGCAGTGATCTTGGCTTGAGTTCTTTTGACCCCTCTTGCCAGTGTGCCCACTTCTTCTTGCCCTGCCCAGCGCTATGAAAAAGTGGTTTCTTTGTTTTTCCAAGGCTTTAGCGGGCCCTGTGAGTGCATGGAGAATGTCCCTGGTTAAATTGCAGAACTGGAACTTTTAGATTGATGATACACTTCTGGCCTGCCCTCATACCTTACAGGAGCTAGTCTATGACTGGGCCCAGCAATCACATTGAAGAAACTCTTAATTTCTTGGACCTTCCTGAAAGCGTTACTGTTTTTAGAACAGTTCCCCTTGTTAATGACTTCTACGATTGTCCTTTTTCTGTTTAGCATTATTTATCAGAGATACAAACCAAATGGCATACTTAACACATTTATACATCTCCCAAAGCTAGAAAGGACAGCTTAACGATCATATGACTGAGTTAGGATTTTGAAACATTTAGACAGGCTCTATAGAACATTGGGACAAATCAAGTCCAACAAAATTAAATAGATATAAATGTAAAGTCTTATGCTTAGGTTTAAAAAATCAACTTCACAAGTACTAGATGTGGGAAGCATAGCTGGAAAGCAGTTTATTCTGGGACTTTTAGTAGGCTGCAGATGCTATGATATTGGAGCTAAGAAATTTAGTTCAATCTTACACCACCATGAGAAAGACTTGGCATCTAGGATTATGGTATGAGGTAGTCCTCTCCCCAGTCAGACCACATTTGGAGTATTATTCTCAGTTCTAGATGCTACATTTTTAAAAGGACGTTGATAAGTCAGAAAGTCTGCAGAAGAAGGCAACTATTATGGTGAAGGGCCTCCAATTCATGCCATGTAAAAATCAGTCAAAGGAACTGGGGATATTTAGCCAGAGAAGAGATGAGTTACAGTGCCATGTATTGAATTATGTGTCTTCTAGTAATTCAAGGGCTCTCTAGGGTGGGAGGGTTCAGACTTGCTCCCCTTTGCCCCAGAGAGTAGAACCAGGAGTAAACCAGTAGAAGCTGCAGAGAAACAAATTTATGCTACACAGGAGGCAAAAAACTCACTAGCAGTTAGAGCTGTTTAAAAGTGGATTGGGCAGCTGGTCCCTCTCCATGGAGGTCCTCTAGCAAAGGCGCTTTGACTTCTGATGCAGCGTGTGACGTACAAGAACTGCCTGTCCAGAGGTGGGCTGGATTCATCCTTTCCAGCTAAGATGTTGTGAATATGTTGTGCCACCCTGGGCTCTTGGGTTTCAAGGCCTGGAATTTTTTCATTCCTCCAACACGTACAGAGGGTACAACTGTTTGTGGCTTTACACTGGATAAGAGAGAACAGATATTGCAAAGCTCAGTTTATCTTGGCCCCCTGAGATGTAGCCACCCCAAAGCCACCCACTTAAATATATCTGTATGCTCCAAGTGTTGGTGATAGATCGCAGGGGAGGAATTTTTAAAATTATTTTTTCACTTAAACTTCTTTTAAAGTAGAGGTTCATAATATAGCAAAGTATAATTGTTACTATACTATACAATACTATACTATGCCATACTATACAAAGTATAACCTGTTACCATCAGCATTTTTGGAGCATAGCGGGGAGTCGGCCACAGAAATTTTCCAAAAGTAGGCCTTACCAAGATTGGCTACTTTTTCCATGTTGATCTGAAAGTTGGTTTGCCTAATTTGGCTCATAAATATTAGAGTAGGGATATGGTTTCTGTGAATGAGGACCTTGACTCCTCAATGAATTAGAAGTCAATATACAGAATTGGGGTTGGACTAGAAGGCCTCTCAGTCTCCTTCCAGCTTTCCATGTACAAAAGGAAGAAAGAAGGAAGGAAAGAAACAAAAGAAAAGAGAGAAAAGAAAGAACAAAAGGAAAAGAGAGCATTTATTAGATACTTACTATGTGCCAGGTACTATGCTAAGCTCTACACGATACAAAAATTTATAAAGAGACAGTCCCAAGCCTCAAGTTGCTTATCATCTATTAAAGACAATACATATATTTCAGTTGTGACCAAGGAAGGGAGTTTTGTTTTGAGTAGGGACGAGAAGGGAAGGGAAGGGGATCTCCCTGGCCACTTATCTGGCCACCCTTGTGCCTGGTACCCCTGGGACCAATTGTAGAATTGTTAGCTTAAGACTGGGCCAAGGAATAGAGCAAAATCAAAGAGGCCGTAGGTGGATTGGATCCATTGCCTTCTCCTCCTTTGCACAGTGCTTTAACTAACAGAGCCTAACTAGTGAAAGGCAGTAGAGGATGAAGAGTTGGCCTTGGGACACCTGGTTCAGCTCCTTTCCCTGGCCCGAGCTGGCTGCGTGACCCCAAGCAGATCACTTACTCTCTCAGTGTGCCCAGCAGGTATCAGATTATAAGCAACAGATGAGCTGCCCATCTGGATGTGGGGGAGACCATTCCCTCCAGTGATGAAATCATGTGTTCAGACATCCCCCAAAATCTTAACATTAACTTTATTTATCGTGTGACTGAATCAGAATCTGAAGCCACTTTTTGTTTTTTACTTCAGAAATTGTTGCTTCAATCATTCCTGTGATGTCTTTTCCTCCAGATTGTGTTACACGGACATGGGACAAGAGTCACTGCTAAATCACAACAAAGTGGAGAAAAGGCCTTTCGGTGTAACTACGATGGGTGTGGAAAACTCTACACAACGGCTCATCACCTGAAGGTGACCTTGCCCTTGGCTTTCAGACTCTTCCCCTGATGTCCTTAGCTCTGATGGCATACCCAGTGGTGGCCCGCTGCCCAGCAGACCTCTCCCTTATAACGACGTTTAGTCCAGTCTCTGTCCCCACCCTTCGTAGGTGGCCACTTCTCGACCTGAGATGCTTCTGGCACCTTTCAGGGATGTTCTCCATTTTTGTGGTCGTGGCCCAAGTGGTTGTCCAGGTCCTCAGTTTGTGTGACTCTTTTCTAGTTGCCCGGAACCCTCCTTATTTGTTGTACCACCCTCCATAATTAAATCCGACTGTTCCATAATGGACTGGCACCTGCTGTCTCCACTTCTTGGCTCCCACAGAAAGGTGCTGCTGCTGTGCTTACTTTCTGCCTAGCAGCAGCATTTTGACTGGGTGCACGCATGTGTATTGCATAAAATAAAGACAGAGGCGCGATGGTGCCATAATCCTTGCAGATGCAAGATGGTCACGTTGCAGTTCACTTTTACTGTAGGAGACTTTGGGGATGACCCTTCTGACCTCATGTGGAGGGATCTTTCCTGAGTACATGTGAAGTCTCTACAAGTGGTTCTACCAGGGGATGAGTCTTTGTCAGCCACAGTAACTCATAGTGACCTGCAAAGGGGGAGAGGGCTTGTGGTCTCCACCAGTGTTGGGGAATACCCCCAGTGAAAAAAATCAGCACTATCAAGGTGGCACAGGAGATAGAACACCCCGACCTGGAGGCAGGAAGACCTGAATTAAAACACAGCCTCAGATACTTACTAGCTGTGGGACCCTGGGCAAGTCACTTAACCTCTGTTTGCCTGAGTTTCCTCATTGGTAAAATGGGGATAATAATAACATCTACCCCTCAGGGTTCTTGTAAGGACCAAATGAAATAATAGTTGTAAAACACTTACCACAGTGCCTGGCACATAGTAGGCTCTTTGTAAATGTTACTTATTATTATTAATTTGATTGTTATATTAATTTATTTTTATTATTATTATTATATATTTGATTATAAGTTATGTTCCTACCCAGAAACCTTCATTCGCACCTTGTCACCCATCTAATAAAGACCAAACCCAAGGTCCTGCACAATTTGGTGCCAATATTGCCCCAATCCTGTAGTGCTCCAACCAAACCAGACCCTTTGCCATCCCTGGATATGCCATGCACTTTCCCACCTCCTAGACTTTTTTTTTTTAAACTTTTTTTTTGGTGAGACAATCAGGGTTAAGTGACTTGCCCAGGGTCACACAGCTAATGTCAAGTGTCTGAGGCCAGATTTGAACTCAGGTCCTCCTGACTCCAAGGCTGGAGCTCTATCTACTGCGCCACCTAGCTGCTCCCCACCTCCTAGACTTGATGCTGTTCTCTATATCTGGCATGCCCTAGGCCCTCTCTTCCTGTCCCCCAGTTCTCTGCCCATTGAAACACCACCTGTCTTTGAAGGCCAAGGTCTGCAGCCTTGAGATTCTGCAGGCAGCAGTGATCTCGGCCTCCTGTGTTCTGGCTGCCCCATTTTTTCTTGTATTATTTGTGACTACATTTTATCTTCCCTAAGTTTGTGAACTCCAGGACTGCATCTTATCTGTATTTGCCCTTCCCCTGGGGTCCCCAGGAGGCACTTCAAGGCTTAAATGAAAAAATCAATCCCCCTCCAGAGCTCCCATTGATTCCATACTTTTCTTACTATTTTATCACATTCAGTCATACATTAGACTTGTCTTTTTTTGTTTTATCTCCCCCGATAACTTGTAAGGGCAAGGACTGAGCCTTAATGCATCTTTGTATCACCACCCCCCATAGTGCTTTGAGCCTGAAAACACACAGTATTTCTTGGGACGAATAGCAAAAACAGGATGAAAACTCATGCCGGGAACCTAAGTCAATGTGTGTTTCTTACTAGATGAATCGTGAAGTACATGTTGAGAGGTGTGGGGGCGAAGGGGTAGAGTGGTTTCTGTTTTTAAAAAAACCCAAATCTGAAGTGAGGGGAAATGCTGCTGGTTTCGTAGTGGGAATGTCCATGGGGACTGACAGCCCTATTTTAACAGGTCCATGAAAGGTCACACACAGGGGACCGGCCGTACCAGTGTGAACATCGTGGCTGTGGGAAGGCCTTTGCCACAGGTGAAAACACAACACTTTTTGTCATCCACCCACTTGTGTGGGCAGAGGCAGGCCTTGGGGCACCCAGCAGTTGTGCTTTTAATTTCTTCTACATAAAAGAGGAGTAAAAATCCTCATCTTAAGTGGCTGGTTGACCCCTCTGCCCTGTCCCGTTTCTCTGTCCCTTGTTCTCTTTAGCCCCTTCCCCCTGTTCCATTTTCTGCTGTCCTTCATTCCCCCATTGCTTTGCCTGCCTCCTCTTAGATAAGGAGAGAAAATGAAAACTTGAAAAAAAATTTTTTTTTACCCAACTCCTCTTCCTATATGCATGCACAAATGTCTCTTTCTTATCTGTGATGTGAGCTCTTTGAATGGGAAAGGTCACCTTGTGCTGTCACAAATAGAATCTAACACATTAAGAATGCTAATTTTAAAACTTTAAAATTTTCTATGAGAAGATTATTCCAGTAACCCTCTCTCAGTCAGATATGCATTTCAGGAGTCTATTGAGCTATTCACATGCTAATAAAAATTAAATGGCTTTACATCTGTTTTATTCAGTGATTGAATCCTGAAGGTTTGTGTTTAAATTTCTTTTTTTCAAGGTTACGGATTAAAAAGTCATTTCAGAACCCACACAGGAGAAAAGCCATATCGGTGTTCAGAAGATAATTGTACGAAGTCTTTTAAAACATCGGGCGACCTACAGAAACACATTCGAACTCATACAGGTACTGGCATTGTGGATAAGCTCATAGGATATTAGATCATAAAATCCAGCCCCTTCTTCTTATGCATGGGCAGACTTGGCCTTAGGTCAAACAGCTCATTAGTGCCAGGGGCACTAAACAGCCTGAACCACTTCAGATTCCAAACCTGTTCTCCTTCTACCTATACCCTGGTGCCTCTGCAGCGGATGGGAGGACTGGACAATACAGTGCCCCTTGGTTACCTCAGCTCTCCCTTCCTTCACCTTACCCACAGGGGCCTGTGCCTTACCCCCTCTCCTCCTCCTCACTCTTGATTTATCCTTCATCAACTTTGTTGAACCAGAAGTCAAAAGATAGCTGTTTACCCTGGGCCTCAGCTCCAGGAGTCTCAGAAGTTTCTGATAACTGGTGTTGTTATGAGCTGTTGCCTCAGTCACACAGTACAAGCCCTCATTTCATTTATACTGTGCATGTAAGCAGGGATGTTGTAAATACCATGTGACAGGTTTTGTTTTAATTTATTTATTTTTAGTTTTCAACATTCACTTCCACAAGATTTTGAGTTCCAAAGTTTCTCCCCATCTTGTCCCTCCCCCCACCCCAAGATGGCGTGTATTCTGAGTACCCCTTCTTCTAGTCTGCCCTCCCTTCTATCTCTCCCCCCCTTCTTTTATCCCGTTCCCCTTCAGTTTTCCTGTAGGGCAGGATAGATTTCTATATCCCATTTCCTGTATATCTTATTTCCCAGGTGCATGTGAAGACAATTTTTTTTTAACTTTTGTTTTTAAAATTTTGGGTTCCAAATTTTCTCCTTTCCTCCCACCCTCATTGAGAAGGCAAGCAACTCGATACAGGTTATACATGTACAGTTATACAAAACACTTTGTAGTAATCATGTTGTGAAAAACTAAGTATATTTCCCTTCATCCTATCCCGCTCCGATTTATTCTATTCTCTCTTTTGACCCTGTCCCTCCTTAGAAGTGTTTGCTTTTGATTACCCACTCCCCCAATCTGCCCTCCCCTCTATCATCCTCCTGCTCTCTTGTCCCCTTCCCCCCCTATTTTCCTGTAGGGTAAGATAGATTTCCATACCCAATTGAGTGTGTATGTTATTCTCTCCTTAAGCCAAATCCAATCAGAATAAGATTCACTCATTCCCTCTCACCTCCCCCCTTTCCCCTCCACTATAAAAGCCTTTTCTTGTTTGTTTTATGTGAGATAATATACCCCATTCTACCTCTCCCTTTCTCCTTCTCCCAGTCCCCTTAATTTTATTCTCCAGATATCACCCCTTCATCTTCAACTCACCCTATGCCCTCTATCTATCTATCTGTCTATCTATCTGTCTATATCTATCTGTCTATCTGTGTGTGTGTATATATATATATGTATATATATATATATATACACACACACATACATGGTAATTTTTTTTCCCTCCAGCTACTCTAATACTGACAAAGGACTCGTGAGTTACAAATGTCATCTTTCCATGCAGAATGTAAACAGTTCAACCTTAATAAGTCTCTTATGATTTCTCTTTCCTGTTTACCTCTTCATGCTTCTCTTGAGTCTTGTATCTGAAAGTCAAATTTTCTATTCAGCTCTGTCTTTTCATCAAGAATGCTTGAAAGTCCTCTATTTCACTGAATGTCCACTTTTACCCTGAAGGATTATGCTCAGTTTTGCTGGGTCATGTGACAGTTTTACCCACAGGCATTGAGATTTCCATTGCCTCTAATGGGTTTTCTAAAGTAGCTCAATAGAGGATTCACTGGCCATCAAAAATTGAATATTTCCCCTCAAGATAATCCCAGCTCTTTGAAGAGAACATGTGAGCCATCCTACCACTTAGTGTAATTTACTTAAGGGTTAACCTTTTTTTGGATCGTGGACTCTATGGGCGATCTGGGGAAGCCTATCCCTTCCCAGAGTAATATTTTTAAATGCATAAAACAAAATACATAGTATTACAAAGGAAACAAATTATATTGAAATACAGTTGAGGTAAGGTAAGGTTAATGTTTATGTGCACTCTCACTTGGAGGTCCCTGTGCCCACTGGCATGAATTTGCAGCCCCTGACCCTAAATGTATGACTCAGGAAAGCTATAACTCCCCCTTCTTCCTAAAAACCTTCATGGTTCACATGAAGATTTAAAATCTGAAAGGATTTTCGGTGTACATGAAGCTGTTTTCAGCCTCACAGAGGGCCTTAATTCCAATTCTCCAGGATGCTTTCTGAAATGTAGTGTAAATAGAGAAGCAGTGTCTTACTGTGGGGGAAAAGCCCCAGAGCTTAGAGCCAGAAGCCCTAGCCTGGAGTCCTGACCTTGTCAATTGCTTTTTAGGTGACTTTGGGCAAATCACTTCTCCTCTGAGTTTGCTCATCTCTAAAATGGGAATGATAATAATAATTCCAGGCCTGCTGAACTCATGGGTTATGAATGAGAAATGCACTTTGTAAATTGAAAGTGCTATATGAATGTGAACAACTGTTTTTATTATTACAAATGCAGTCAAGGTAATAGGTACACTATAAAGAAACCAGGCTCATGTAGTCAAACCCTAGATGTGGAGGGGTTGTTTTTGTTTCTTGTTTTTTACATATATGCATCATCAGAATAAGGTGATTTGGTCAAAAAGGCAGACCTCAGAAATCTTCTCGTGGTTTTCCAGTCTATGAAGTTATTTTGCCTTTAACCCAAGGGAAAATGGCCAAGATCTTTTGATCTCTTTTCCAGGATCTTTTTTTTTTCCACCCTAAAATTTCTTGTGATACTTGAACTGATCTCTTCTCTTTTCTGGAACTGCATCTCAAACATTTGAAAATTAAAAGCGAAGCCTCGTTTCCTTTTCATTTTTGGAAGAAAATTGACACATTCCTTTTGCCTGTCCTTGGTGCTGAGGAATATTCAAGAGACAAGCAGACTGAGCAGTTTTTCTTGTAGTTAATGTCAGCCTAATGAAGAAAGGATCATTCTTTTTTCTGTATGATAACACCACAAAACAGAAGGAGACTCATTTTCCTAATCAACCAAAATTTCCATGATTGATAAAAGGTGGTCCTAAGAAGGTTCTGACTTAGGGCCTTATCATTCTCAAATCTGTCTTACTCAATTATCTCTCCCTTCCAGTCTATCATTAAAATGTGCACACTTGATAATTCCTTCTGAGACTTTCATGTAATTAGCTTTGTGAGTTCTTATTTCAGAAACTTTTCTGTGTCCCTTTAAACTTGGAGAGAAAAATAAACTTTACTTAGAAAGTTTTGCTCAAGTAAGAGAAATCTGAGTAGCAAAGCCGCAAATCATGGATTTTGATTCTGCTTTTTATTTTTAAAAAATGTTTTATTGATGCCTTTTGTTTTATGTCAATCATTTCCAACTTTACTGCACTCCCTCTCACCCAGTGAACCTTCTGTTGGAACAAGGGAAAAAGCAATTTGAACAAAACAACTCTGTCTGACAGCACCTTCCTGACCATTTAATTTACCCTCCTCTGTGTTTGCAGGTGAACGACCCTTCAAGTGTACCTTTGAGGGATGCGGCAGGTCCTTTACTACATCAAACATCAGAAAAGTGCACATTAGGACACATACAGGAGAAAGACCCTATTACTGTACAGAGCCAGGATGTGGGAGGGCCTTTGCCAGTGCAACAAATTATAAGAATCATGTGAGGATACACACAGGTAATCAGTCTCTGGGGTTGGGGTCTTTGTTTCTTCTAGTCCTCCTTTGAAGCTCAGTTCATCAGCTTCTTTTCCCAGGAAGCCCTCCTTGCCTACTCCATCCCTCCCTCCCTCTAATGCCCATGGCTTCATGTGTATAAATCTTACCTCCCAACAAGAGGGTACAAGCAATGTGTTAGCCTTTTTTTAATGTCCCTTACAGTTCTGGGTATGCAGTGTATGCTCAGAGTTTTTGAGTGGTCACAGAAGGTCTGAGGTGAGGTCACTAAAGACATCTGTCCTCGATTCCTTGCCCTTGAAGTGGCCAGCTATATTAAAGAATATTTTATTATCCTTTCCTACATTTTAGTGAGCTGATTTTTTGGTGGGGTTCAGACCTGTGATTCATCTGCATAGGGCAGTGGTATCAAACTCAGATGGAAATGGGGAGCTCTAACCATATGTAAGGAGTAGCTTAGTGGTTAAATAGCCATTTACTTTGGAAATAATGGGGAAGGTGCCGAAGTAGGTAGAATCCTAGCTGGAAAGGCAGAGGACTGAGCTAGACCCATCTGGAATAGGAGAATGTGGGCTTTTCCCATCATTCTTATTGTTGTCCCTGGTGGGAAGGTTATTGCTTTCCATCCCCATCCTTTTAACTTTTATAACCTAATGTGTGACATGTTGACTTTGTGTGTGTGTGTGTGTGTGTGTGTTGTCTTTTCCTTAGGGGAGAAGCCATATGTTTGTACAGTCCCTGGGTGTGATAAACGATTCACAGAATATTCCAGTTTGTACAAACACCACGTTGTTCATACTCACTCCAAACCATACAACTGCAATCACTGTGGGAAAACATATAAGCAAATCTCCACCTTAGCAATGCACAAGCGAACAGCTCACAACGACACAGAGCCAATTGAGGAAGAACAAGAGGCCTTCTTCGAGCCCCCACCAGGTGGGTAGCTGGTGGGGAGTCGGGCACTGCGCAGGAGAGGGACCTGAAGGGTCAGATTCCTTTCCAGCTTTTGTTTGGAGTCATCTTAGATGCCTTTCCTGACTCACCGGGGCGCTTGGAAGCGCTCTGGTCTAAAGCCTTCTTGGTATTGGTTTTCCTTTCTGACTGCACCTGTGACTTTGGTTGGCCAGCTCAGCCATTTAGAGACTCAGAGATTGGCATTCCATGAGTGTGAGTTACTGGATTCATTCTTGAAGAAATATGAGGAAACCATTGACTAATAATAATAACACACATTTATAGTGCTTACGGGTCACAGAGCACTTTCTTCATACAGCAATCCTGAATCCGCATTGTACAGATGAGGAAACTGAAATTCAAAGGGGCTCTGACTTTCCCAGGGTGGCTCCTAAGAGTCTGAGCCAGGATAAGGACTCACGTGTGTCTCTCCTTTCTGTTGAAATACTCTTTCCGGTGTGCGAAGCTGTGACTTTTTTAACGTTCTGAAAAGGCAGTTCTCTGATCCTCTGTAATAGGGAAGCAATAAGGATGGCATTGTGGAGAGAGCACTGGATTAAGAGACAGCGTGGGTTTGGGGAAGGGGCAAGGCAGCACAATAGAGTGGAAAGTGAACTCGGCAGACTTGCATTCGAATCTCGGCTCTCTCACTTCCTAGTTGTGTCTTCTTGGGCAAGTCACTTAACCCTTCTGAGGGTCAGTGTCTTCATTTGTCAGATGGGAAGAAGGATACTTGTTCTATGAACTTCACAGGGTTGTTGAAAGTACCTTGTAACCTTGGAGAGTTGTGTAATTGGGAGCTATTACTATTGAAGTTTACAAAGCACCTCTGGGTCAAGATGAGAAGCAGTGGATTAATGGGTTACCAACTATTCAGACTTTTTTTTTGGACACAGTAGACTTTTCAGAGGTTACACATGGGAAAATGCTGTGGGAACCCCTCCTCCTTACTTCCCCAAATCTCATACCATATTCCTCAGTGATTTCTAGCTTTAAATATCCAGATTTAAATGTTTAGAAAAAGCCAAAACCCTTTAAAAATAAGAAAGTGAATGGAACGGTGTATTTATTTTAGTTGTGGAAGGGAAATGAGGTAAACATCGTTAACGTTATGTACACTCACTGGAAGCCCTTGTGACCATGGGCATACATTTCCAAGAAGTTGATAGAAAGGAGAAAGGTTAATGGTGCCCCTAGAGATTAAATTGATGACCTGGGCCTTCTCAGCCCAGTACTCACCATCCACAGTCTTCAGGCAACAGTGTATAACATTGTAGGTTACCTTCAATTTCCTTTTTAAATTGGAATAAAGATCTTACTTGCCCTTTTTCTGCCTTTCATGAGAGATAGAGAATGGAGAATGGGAAAAGAGAAGAATCTGATGTAATTGCCAAATGTGGCTCATCCTGAGTGGTATAATTACAGCAGGGACACTTGGAGTGCACTATGGTTATTTAAGAAAAAGAATAAGAGCCTCTTTGGCTTATTAAATGGTACACCTTTACACAATGATGAGTGTGCTTTCCTGAGGGCCAGAGGTCACTTATATTTTTTTTTTCTTTTTTTTTTTTTCAGAGGTCACTTATGTTAATGAATACTTGTTAGTACCACTTTATGGTATTTACAAACCATTCAGGTTTGCTGGTTGGTATTGTTAACCTGGTGAATCATTATCTCTGGGCATTTTTTTTTTAGCCAGTAGAACAAATAAAGTGAATATATAACTAAGTTCATATTTACTTTGGGTTATTTTTGGAAGCTCTATTTACATATGTCTTCTTCACCTCCCCCAAAACACACACTCTTTAACAATGAGGAAAAAATAGACCCAAGACCTTGGAACAATTTGTTGGATTTGATGGTGTTAAATTTGGGGGATGGGGATGGGATGTTGTAAAGAATCCCTAAGAAAGGGCTCTTTATGGTTAGTAATTTAATAAATAACACAAAATCTTTTGTCTTTTTCCCCCATAATTTTAATTTGTATATATTTTTCTTGAACAGGTCAAGGCGAGGATGTCCTCAAAGGTCCACAGATAACCTATGTTACAGGTGTAGAAGGGGAGGATGTGGTGTCTGCACACGTAGCTACCGTAACTCAATCTGGATTGAGCCAGCAGGTCACTCTCATATCCCAGGATGGGACCCAACATGTAAGTGTCCACCGTACACAAGTCAGGTGAAAATCCTGGAGGATATTCTGTCAGGGAATGGTGGGAGATGGGGCTGGAATTGTAAGTTTGGGCCAGACTGGAAGCCCCTGATTATCAAGTAAGGAAATTTGACGATTGTCCTGTGGGCAGCAGGGAGCCTCTGAACGTTGTTGAACTGCTGAGTGACTAGATAAAAACGAAGTTTTAGAAACATTAATGTGGAAGTGACCCACAAAGTGGAGAGACTTTTAGGAAGCTGTTACTGTAGTACAAATATGGGATGCGTAGGGCCTGAACTGGGGTGGTAATGGAATAAGAAGGAGGGATGAAGGCGAGAGGTGCCACTCAGGGTCAACAGCGCTTGATGATGGGGAAGTTGGGGAATGGCTGATGAGAAGGAGGAAGAGTCCAAGATGACTCCAGGGTTCTAAGCCATGTGCAGAATCAGGAAAGGGAGCACACGGAGCCTCTAAAGAGTCCCTGCCTGTTTGCATCACAGCTCATGACTCTGCCTCCTAAACATTCTCAACTGCTTTTTGCTTCTCATCTCCTTGGATGACACACAAAGATCAGCTGCCACTTTATTTTGTTTGCTTCGAAATGGGGTTAAGTGACTTGCCCAGGGTCACACAGCTGGTAAGTATTATGTATCTGAGGCAGGATTTGAACTAGGGTCCTCCTGACTCTGGAGCTGGTGCTCTATCCACTGCACCACCTAGCTGCCCCCAGCTGCCACTTTTTGTGATGTGCCTCTGGAGGTATGATTGTAAAGCAGGTTAAGTGGATTGTCCCAAAGCAGATTGTTTCCCTGTAGGGGGAGTATAATAATTAAGGACTGCATGGTTCATAAAAGATGCAGAATCAGAGACATCTATGCCAAACATGTAACAGTTATTTAAAGTAGTAAAATGGTGTTACAGCTTCTGTAAAACGGATATAAATGTACCTCGGTGATACAAATAGGACTAAGAAGTGTGATACAGAACATAAACAGTGATAATAATAGTTCACATTTGTGTAGCGCTTTTAGGTCTGCAAGTGCTTTACATAATTTGATTCTCACAACAAGGGGTAGGAGACAGGGTCACGCAGCATGTCGGCATGTGAGGCTGGATTTGAACTCATATTCCTGACTCCAGACTCGGTTCTCCATCCACTATCCTACCTGGCTGCCTCAGCATTAACAAACCATTGTATTATGAATTTGATATCAGTGAAACTAGCCTTCTCACTGCATTAAATAAACAATAATTATGTTTGTCTTCTTAGGATTTAGAATGAATTTTTTTTAAGGCAATTGGGGTTAAATGACTTGCCCAGGGTCACACAGCTAGTAAGTGTCAAGTGTTTGGTCAGAGACCAGATTTGAACTTAGGTCCTCCTGACTCCAGGGCTGGTGCTCTATCCAGCGTGCCACCTAGCTGCCCCGTGAATAATTTTTTTAAAAAATTCATTCTAGGGGCAGCTAGGTGGCACGCTGGATAGAGCACCAGCCCTGGAGTCAGGAGGACCTGAATTTAAATGTGGCCTCAGACACTTGGCACTTACTAGCTGTGTGACCCTGGGCAAGTCACTTAACCCTGATTGCCTCGCATCCAAAAAAAAAAGATTATTCCGATGACTTTATTATTCAGGTCGCTTTCAAAAAGCTATCCTTGGAAGCTTGAACTGAAGCTTTTTTCCCTCTCTCAGTAAATTTATCATAACCAGAAAAATTCAGAACCATTCCACTGACATTAGAGCTCTGCTCCAAGTAATAAATGTTCAGTAAATGTTACTACTAATAATGGTGATATTTGTCCTACTAAGAAACTTTTATTTTTTTAAGAGAGGACTTATCCACAATTAATCCTCATTGTCCTTTATTATGCTTTCATTTTATTCAAAGCTACAAGTGTATCAAGTGTCTGAACCAGTCAGGGACACCAAGAAATAATAAAGGTTGTTACATCACTCTTTATACTTCACTATCACAGCCAACCTTGACAGGATGGTTCTCTCAAACTGGTGACCCAGCCAAAGGTTTGATCAGCTCCTGCTATAAACTGGACTAAAGATGTTCTCAGACACCTGAATCCAGAAACCTTGCTCCTTTTACTACAAATTACTTTCTACCCTTTCCTCCAAGTTTAAGCTGAGTGTGATGGCTTTTAGCACTCCAGGAATACCTTCCATGGAGAAAACTCACCTCTTGGTACAATGCCTAAAAGTGCAGTTTGGAACAGAGAGCTCTGTTCCACAAGTATTTGACACTTTTATCCAAGCCTACATTACATTTGACTTGAAAAGCTCCCAAAGCAGATTTCATAATATGACTTCACAAAGAACTGCTGAGGCAAATTTGAGATGGTATTTAATCATGCATGCATTGTGACCTGTAAGATATCTGCAAGGTATGGTTGAGGAACCCAGTGAGCTCTAGGCCCAGAGATTTCGATGGAAACAAAAGAAAGAAAATCAGAGAGGAAGGTTCGCCCTTGCCCCTCCTGCTAATACTGAGCCGTTCTTCTAAGTCTGACTCAATTTCTACCCCTCCAAGAAACCTCACAAAACCTTAATTTTCTTCCTGTCCAAAACACCTGTAGCCTTTATAATCCATATCACGCCTTTCAGATCAAGTATCATGTTGGCTTTAAGACTGTAGCACTCCTGTTTTTGTGCTACTGCCGTCCTTTTTTTTTCTTTATATGTATTTAAATTTATATATTTTATATAATATAAAAATTATATCAACAAATTATATTGTAGATATATAATTATATGTTTAAATTTACATATTTAAATATATATTTGTTTTCTTTATAAAGACATGATTATCTGTTTTATATCTTCGTCTGACCCAGAGGGCAAGAAGCTACACAATGTGACTGGCGGTACCTGGGAGGGGTCTACCATGAACTTTGGGATCCCTGGTGGATAATGAGCACTCCAGCCCTAGAGGGTCGTTTCATGTTTTATACTGTTCACTAATTGGCGATTGAATATTTGTCATGGACTCTCCAAATTGGACGAGACCTTGGAGCTAGTTCATCTAGTCCATCTCGTATCCAAATTATGAATTCTGTCTTCAGTGACAAGTAGTTAAACACTGTTTCAACACTTCTGGTGACAAAAACCTCACCACTCATCTTCGCAGTCCATTCCTTTTTCAGATATCACTAAATATTAGAAAGTGTTTGTTAAGTTGAAATATGTCTGCCTACAATTTCCACCCATTGGGCCTAATTGTTGGGTCAATCAGTACAAGTCTAACCCTTCTTCCCCAGGCTAAACATTCTTAATTCCTTCAACCAAGCTTTATCTGGCATGGTTAAAAGACCCTTATTCCCTCACTGTCCTGGTCACCCTTCCCTGGACACATTCCAACTTGTCAGTGGTCCTTCTAAAATGTGGTACCCAAGAACTGTACATCATACTCCGGATGTGGTCAGCTATCTTGTCTTCACTGCTCGGTCATGAGCTCTCAGAGCCAGTGTCTCTCATATCCCTTGGCGTACCTGGAACATAGTAGATGCCCACTGCATATTTGTTTGGTTTATGTTATCTTAAAAACATGTATTTGTGACAAGGGTTTTGATTTGTGGAAGGGGTAGGTTTGAGAAGGAGAGAAAATAGATTTTTTTTTATGTTTAGTTGGAAAAATTAAATTTAATTTTAAAAATTAAAAAAGGAGCAGCTAGGTGGCACAGTGGATAGAGCACCGGCCCTGAAGTCAGGAGAACCTGAATTCAAATCCAGCCTCAGACCAAACACTTGACACTTACTACCTGTGTGACCCTGGGCAAGTCACTTAACCTCAATTGCCTTAAAAAATTTTTTTTTTTTTAAATTAAAAAAAAAGATAAGGCTACTGCAAGTTTTTGTGGATGGAAGAACTGAACCCTGGAAGGGCTGGCTTGGCCAATAGTTATACCATTCTTGGTTTCTCTCTTTCCTTATCAGCCCAGCAGTTGAATTTTTTTCTCAATACGTTTTATTCTGATGCAACGGAAACTTTCACACAAACACCCTTACCAGTTATATTCCTTGGAAAATATTTATCAGTGGTAAACAGAAAGGAGGGGTGTGCCCTCTCATTTTGATAGTATGGTATGGTTAACCCTCAGTCATTCAATTACCATGCATTTATTAAGTACCTATTGTATGCCAGGCACTAAGAATACAGAGACCAAGATAAAACAGTACCTGCCCTGAAGGTGCTTACAGTCTAGCTGAGGGAGGGAACATGTGTGCAGGATATGCAATATCCATAGAAGATAATCTAGTGGGAGGGAGGGATAGCCATGAGGGGAACAGAAGAGGTTTCTGTCGAAAGAAGGGAGCATGTGAGCTGGGCTTTCAAGGAAACTAGAGATGCTGAAGTGGGGATGATGAGGGAGTGCATTCCAAACATGGGGCACAGCCAGTGCAAAAATTTAGAGAGAGGAGATGGGGTATTGTATATGAGGCACAGTAAAGAGATTATTTGGCTTGACTTGTAGAGTGTGTATTTCTCTCTCTGCCACTGACTTCCTTTCTTTCTCTCTTGGTGTGTGTAAGGGAACAGGGCACCAAGATGAAGAGAAAGCAGGTTGGGGCAGTCCCCAAAAGGAACGGTTCTGATTCTGGCTCTGTCCTGTGGCCTTCCAGCAAGTCACTTTCCCTCTTAGGCGGGAGATTGGGCTCCATGATATCTTAGGTCCCTCCCAGTTCCAAGTCAGTGGCTTAAGTTAATATTTACTTACAGATGGTTGGGGGCTTTACCAACCCATCGTGATTCTGTTAGGGAGAAGTATGCTGTTGCTGTCCCCTGGCGATAGTTCACGTTTACCTTAGCAGTGTGTGCTTGTAGCAGGTACCAGTGAGGGTCTTTCATGAACCTAAAATGTTTTTTCTATATATTTTTTCTAACATAAAATATTTTTCAGTTTTCTGAACCAGGCTTGCTAGGTAAACAAACTACCCTTAGATCTAGTGTCCAAGCAAAGTGTGTTTGAATTTACTGGCCATAGGCTATTGTTCAAGTCGGGTTTCTTGGCAGCCTAAAAGCATTTCTTAAGTGTCCAGCGGAAGATTCAATTCACTGGTTGTCAATTTATTCACTGAAGGGTTGGGCTCAAATGAACAAATGTACTTGAAGCATTTCTGATTTGTTTGGTTTTTTTTTTTAATGTTTCATTTCAGGTCAACATATCTCAGGCAGACATGCAGGCCATTGGAAATACCATCACAATGGTGACGCAAGATGGCACTCCAATCACAGTCCCCACTCATGATGCAGTTATCTCTTCAGCGGGAACACACTCTGTAGCCATGGTTACTGCTGAGGGTACAGAAGGACAGCAGGTAAATGCCTTTGTATGCATATGTGTGACACTGAAAAAAAAATGTCCAGAGCCAGCTTGGGAGAAAGTATAGCATCATGGGAAAAATAGTGCATTGGGAGTCAGATGATACAGGTTCTAATCCTGGCTCTGCCCCTTTCTAGCTGGGTAATAACTTTAGACTAGGCTCTTCCCCTCTCTGGGGCTCAGTTTCCTGTCTGTAAAATGAACAGTAGGACTGGCTGCCTTCCAAGGCCCTGTGTAGCCCTGACATTCTATAGTCTAAGCTGTCAATTTCTGAGGCATCGATGCCATGCAACATTGCTCTCAGCGGTCACTCACTCAGCGGTCATCCGGCAGTAGCAGATTCAACTGGAGCTCTCTGAAGGGAGTTTGTGCTCTAGCTTATTGCAAGTCTCCCAGCCCATTTAATGATGGAGTCGATCCAGAGGAAGAAGGTTATCTCTTCCCTCTGGCTGACTTTAGAGTGGCCCCAACCAACCTCTCATCTTTCCCATGGTCCCTGGATGCTTTTCCCATGGGTACCCTACAGCAGGCAGAGATGCAGAAATTCCAGCAGGTCTTGTGACCATTAACTGACACCCCATAGTAGACACTCTCTAAAATCTTGTTTCAAGAAGCATGGGCCACAGAATCCTGAACTTAGAGTTACAGGAACCTCCAGCCATTTACTCCAGTCTTCTCATTTTATCGATAAGGGAGCTGAGGTCCAGAGACTTATCATGATTTACCCACAGTCACAGGGGTGGTAAGTGGCAGAACCTGACTCCTAACTCCAAATCCAGTGTGCTTTCTTGGTTAGAGCATCTGGAAGAAAAAATGCCAGGGATCAGTAATGTCATTGGGAGTGTCATTTAAGATTTGGTGACTCCCTTTTCTCTTCCTCTGCCCCTACCACTGCTATATATCCACTTCCATATTCAAAAATTCAACTCTGCATTGACCCTATCATTAGATAGCCTGAAATAGTTTCAGTAAACTCTCAACAGAATCGTAAGCACAGAAGCAGATATCCACTGGGGAAATGTTGAAATTTCCCCTGGAGTGCTCTGATCTTATCTGCACTGAGGCCTTCCTGGAACACCTGCCACTTCAGGGCTGAGCTCTCCTGTAGACAGCTTTCCATGTGCCCAGAGAGGGGGGTCGTCTGGGTCTTCCTGATTCCTCCTTTTAAAAAGAGGCCAAGGCAACCTGGTTTCAGACACACTCTCTAGTGGAAGCTTTGGAAAACATGGCCACTCAGCATGGTTTTTCATTCTACTTCATGTTATAGAACCTGTGAATATCCCATCTTGAATTTTCTGGTGGGTTAAAAAACCAGGGTTTGTTAGTGGAATGAAGCCCAGGTTATCGAGCAGTGGCAGCTGAGCTCTGACTCCTCTGCGTTTGATTGAATGAGTTCTTTCTTACCCAGCCTCTCCTCGGGTTGCTACAGGACAAAGGGTCGATGCCTTTTGTCCACCCACCAGCTATGTAGGAAAGGCAGTCTTGTGACTCCTGGGACAAGCACATTCAATACCCTTTCCTTGACATTTGGAGGAGAAAAGTAAAGTGGATGTATGGTATCTAAACTTGAGCATTATATTAGATATCACACTATAATATATTGGTCCAATAAAGTGTCCTAATTGTACAAAAATGTGATTTTAAATAATTATGGGTTTGAATGGAAGAAATGATGTTGCCCAGCACTTACCCAGACCCAGGAATAAAGAGATGTTTAGGAATATTGACTCTTTGTGTTTGTGGGCCAACCTGGCTGCCTCTGAACTAGCCACTTGGGGGCAGCAAAATTTAGGGGCAGAGAAGGCTTGCCAGCAACTGAAGACAGGAAATGAGCTATTCTGTTAAATTGGCCTGAGCGCCCTGAGGTCTGAGAATGAACCTCACGCTGACTGTCTCTGGCCTCTGTGTTGCAGGTTGCAATAGTGGCCCAGGACTTAGCAGCATTCCACACGGCCTCCTCAGAAATGGGGCACCAGCCACACGGGCATCATTTGGTGGCGACAGAAGCTCGACCGCTGACGTTAGTGGCCACATCCAACGGAACACAAATCGCAGTGCAGGTGAGCGTAAGCATGTAGCAAGTGTGGCCACCCTCGACTCCCCACTCTGTCTGTTGTACCCGAGGGGCTGTTTCTGGTCCTCATGGCAAACAGGCAGCACAGAGATGTACACACGTCGGCTAACCCAACGCTAAGCACCCATGGAGCCATTGGCACAGATACCAATATCTCTATCTCTAATTTCTGCGCTTGCTACAGAGGAATATATAGAAAAAGAACGGGCAGGACATTCACTGCTGCGTATCCCAAAAGGCCATCACATGACTCCCAGTTTTCCTAAAAGTCTCCCTGCATAGGTGCCTGTCAACCTGTCCCTTCCAGATTCTGTGATCTGGTGAATAAGAGCATCTCCTCACCTTTTGCTTTACAGCAAGACAAATAAAGGACATGGATCCGTCTGAGTCAAAACTAGGTAGGAGTGACAGTATCGGTCAGCTGCAGGTTAGACTGGATAGCATTGGTGATTCCTTCTCAGCCTGTGATTCCATGCTTCCTTGGCTAAGACCATTGTGTCCTGTGCTCCAAGACTGTTTTAGATGTTAGGTGCCGGTTCCTCTGTGGCCTGCTTAATTTTTGTAAACTGTGGAGAGGATGGCTGATTGGGCATGGTGCTCTTGGCTTGGAACCAGGCCTCTTCCATGTTTGTTTCTGAGGGAAAATATGCTTCAATTTAAGAGAGCCTTTCCCAGGGGCATAACCTGCTGCCTGTACGAGTAGACACCTGCCTGGATACACTTCTTCCCACAGGCCACCATGGTCTCGAAAGTCTCTTAAATGTCTCTCGGAGGCCTTTGTAAAATAAATGTATAAAATCTACCTCATCAGTAGACCATGGTACAGGGTCATGAAAAGACCACCCACCAGATCTGAAGCAAAAGACTCAGGGTCTTATCTCGGCTGTCATCTGCCGGTGGTAGCGTCATGGGCAAGGGGCTTCGGAATACTAAAGAGAGGCTTGAGTTTCCCTCTCTATCAAAATGAGAGGCCGACATGGATTATTGTGAAGACCTCTTCCAGCTTTTCTGTCTATGGTCTTGGGAGGGTCACATGAATCCTGAAAGTAACCAGCAACATTGATGAAAGGAGATGCTTATAAACCTGAGAAAGAAGCAGACCGAGATAGAGGGAGACAGACTGAGTGATTGAGGGATAAAAAAAATAAACGCAGCTTCCTGGTAGGACTGGCCTTTTGACTTTGCCGTGTATGTATGTATGTGTGTGTGTGTGTGTGTGTGTGTGTATACATGTTAAGAGCTTAACACTCATAAATAAGCATGAACATTTCAATATACAAAGAAGAACAAAAAGAATTGCATCTGAAACCATGAATTTCCATTTTGTGGACTTTTTAACAAGTGTATATTAAATTTAACATGGTGGTAACAAAATTGCTCAGTTTGTATTCCCTTATCAACTCTTGTATTTCTTCTTATAGTGTGTTTTTATTAATGTTATATTGATGCCTCTCTCTCTCTCTCTTTCTCTTTTTCTCTCTCTCTCTCCCTCCCAGTGCCCCCTCTGTCTCTGTCAGTCTCTCTTTCTCTCCCCCCCTTCCCTCTGTCTCTCTCTTCCCCCCTCCCCACCAAAACATTCCCTTTTCTCCTTCCCTTAAGCCTTTCTTTGCCTTTCACCATTGCTAAGCAATTTTACAGGCACACGTTCCACTGTGTGCCTTCAGCTGGTCATCACCACTCTTTTTTTTTTTTTTTTTTTTGGCCAGTTGGGGTTAAGTGACTTGCCCAGGGTCATACAGCTAGTAAGTGTCAAGGCTGACTTCAAGGCTGGTGCTCTATCCATTGCGCCACCTAGCTGCCCCTTGTCACCACTCTTAAAATAAAAGCTTAACAATACTGCCATTTTGTAATAAAATAAAATTTTACGTTTATAGATCGTTTTATGGTCACAAAGCACTTTGAATACATCTCATTTTGTTCTCACAATAGCCCTATGAGGTAGATAATGCAGGTAATAATCTTTTCCATTTTATAGATGAGGAAACTGAGGCTCAGAAAAGAGAAGTGACTTGCCCCAGGTTACTGTAGCTAGACTCACCTCTTGGAAGAGATGTACCCTTTCAACATGGAGAGCTGATTGATTAATCCTCAAAGACTCATTACACAATCCCAGTCAATTCAGCAAACAATTTGTTGAAGCCTAATGTTTTTACAGAAGTTCCTGTGGTGGATGTAGAAATTAGGGCCACGCCAAGGCCCCCTACCCAGAAGGAATAAATAGTTGAGTGAGGAGTTAAGACAGATACACAGTTGAACTGTGCTGCGACGCAGAACGTAGTCATTGCCCCCAAGAGAGGCACCGGCCTCTTCTCTTAGAGTTGGCAATGCTAGGAAACCCTTTGGCTTGCTGGGAATCATAGAGGTGTAGAAGGGCTCCTAGGGTGAATGGTCGGCAGCGTGCCCCATATTGGAGAGATGTGAAACAAAGATGCCTTAAAAAAATGCTTTTATAGGTGCTTAACTTGAAAAGAATGTGAAGGCCATGTCTTGGTGTGGATAACTCCTTAGGAAAAAAGGCCTATGGACTGTCTTTATCTTGGACTTCCAAAATAAGGAATTTCTTTTGGCCCCTTTGCTGTGAAGACTTTTATCAAATACCTAAAGAAACTATACTTAATCTCTTCCCACCTTCTTTTCCCCTCACATCACTTAGGCAGATATCTCCGGCTGTGCCCCTTCATTCAAAGTCAAATACTGAGAACATTTATTAAGTACTTAATATGCTCTGGGAGCTGGGGAGCCATGGGCAAAAAGTGAACATACCTGCCCTCTGGCAGCCTGCATTCTTCTTGGGGAACACAGATAAGAGGGCACAAATTAGTCAATAAAAAGTACATACAAATTGTTATCATATTGTGCTTACCTTCTCAATGGGTAAGGGAAGGTTGGGAGGGAGAGAATATAGAACTCAACTTTTTTTTACTTTTTAAAATATTCTTAATTATTTAGGATTTTATTTTTCTCCCAATTACATGTAAAAACAGTTTTAAACATTTAAAAATTTTGAGCGAAACTCAAATTTTTAAAAAATGAATGATAAAATAGTGTATATATTTTAAAAAATTAAATAAAAAGTATATACAAAGGAGTGTAAGAGGGAGAGCATATTAGATTCCACCAAGCCAAGTTTTCCAAGTGAGTGGGAAAGATTTGGCTCCTGGCCTATGATGTTTATTTTATTGAAAACTTTTGTTGAGTGAAAACTCTTTTATCTTTCTCACATTCATGTTGCAGCTTGGAGAACAGCAGTCTTTGGAAGAAGCCATCAGAATAGCCTCCAGAATCCAGCAAGGAGAGACGCCAGGCTTGGACGATTAACCCGGACCTTGGAACCATCCGGCGGAGAATCTTTTCTTTTCAGACAACAGAGACCCCTGCAGCCAGAGTCCAAGAACACTTGGAACTTTCCCATTCCCTGATCCTCTGCACACATTTTTATGCACAAATGGACACCGTCTCACTGGTTGGACTGGGTGACCTCCAGGGTCCCTTCCAACTCTGCAGATCAGCAGCTCTCAATTTCCAACCTGACCCCTTGTGTATGCAGAAATATGAAATTAGGACTAGATGGTAGGTGTTCCTGTTGTTAGCCTCTATCAGCTCTCAGACTACTGAAGTCTACCTGCATGGCCGGTGCAGCTGTAGAATTCTGCCCCAGGATGAATTTTAACTTTAAATACATGATCAAAGCTGTTCAGACACTTTCAGATGTCTGAAAGGTCCTTACAATCATAATTCCAGAAGCCATTTCAAATGACAAAAGGATGCAAAACCTTTAAATATGTTCTTCAATTAGTAGGGACCCTGCGATGTTGGTCCTACGTTTCTCCATTTTGATTTCTGTCCCAGGTAACTGGTTGTCTTTCCCTGTCCCTGTCAAGTACAGCCTATTCAGCTAATTCCATTAGCTTTAATTAGATTATGTAAACATTGAAAAGCTTTGGTTGTTCAGAATTAAAAGGTTAAACCCAATACTTTGGTTTCCTTAAAGGTTTTACCTTACGAGTTTTGTTTTTGGTTTGGTTTTGTTTTTAATAATTCCAATTATGATCTAGGAAAATGTGACCACAGTGTCCAGGGAAGAAGGCAGGGCCATGATCTGAAGTGAATTGACTCTGGGATGAGTTCAGTGTAACCTATTTATTTTTGTTTAACATGTGTTATATCCTTGTTCCAAAGTTTATTTAACCTGTAGCTCATTTTTAATTGAATCTAGTAGTTCAATAAATGATAATTTACTTTTATTAAATTGGGTGAATAAATTGCTGAGGAAAAACAGACCAGAAACCTAATGGAGACAACCACTTTGGAGGCCTCTTGTGACAGAATGAAACTCAGCCTTGAGAAGATTTTTTTTTTTTTTACAGATCAATGGTTCAGATTCTGCTTTAGTAGAAATTCAGGCCCAAAGAGCATTGCCTCCTCACCCCCTATTTCCAGCATTATATTGTTCTTTGTACAGTTGAGAAGCCAGTTGTGGGAATGTTTCATTTCAATTTGTATAGTTAAAAAGAAAACTTTCCTGGTTTGTTTTTATTATTATTGAATATAAATGCTGTTTCTTACCTGTTTTTCTTTGAAGTCTCTACCAAAAGGAAACATTTAAAATAAAATAGCATTTTAGGCGGAATTCCTACCAAAACCGGGACCACTATTGCTCAAGTCCTTGCTCTAACGGGAAATCCTAGGATTCACAAACCCGTTCCTCTTCCTATACTGGACACTGGGGCTGAAGGGTGGACTCTTCAGGGAGAAAAGAAGGGTGCTGAGACACAGGAGACCCCCACCCATCTTCCTTTGTGGAAGCTTGTGGCTGCACCAGCTCAGGCCCCTGGCCCTGCCCAGGGTCACTCCAAATGGCGTATGGCAGGTCTTGCCCTTAGATCGTGGGGAGGGGGAGAGAGGCCACAGGCACTGTGCCGAAGGAAGCTGTCATGGATCACTTGGAATTCACTCTTCTCCAGCCCCAAGGTCGCCTCCTCTTAATGTGTCACCAGATCCCACAGTTGACAAGCCTTCTCTTGGGTAGCTGCCTCTTGACAAATTTTTCACGGCCAGTATTTCTGGATGCTTTCCTATACGGGTCTGGTGAGCCCCAGGAAGGAGATCTTTGTCAGCATTCTAGAAGGAAACCATTTGCACTGATTTTTAGGGGTTGTTTAAAACAGAAATGAACAGAGAGGAGGGGGCTTGCAAGTTCTAACTGCTTGGAGTAGTGAGTCCCCTGTAATGTATTTGGGCACCAAAAGGTTGTTTTCTTTCCTTTTGCCATTGGGCTTATGACTTGCCCCTAGGGAAGGAGAAATATGACTTGCTAATACTGATCTGACATTCCTGGGAGCTGTTAAAGCCAGAAGTTCCCGATTCCTTTTCAGGAGGAAGGTGGAACTTGGCTGAGCTGGAGGGAGATCTAATATGATGGATTTTGTAAGGCCAGACTGAAAACTCAGCCACTAGTTTTTGGTAGAGAAACCCTTTCAATCCAAGAAAATTAGTTCTACTTGCCCCCTACCCTTTTATACCTCTGTTATCTCCTTCCATCCCCTTTTGTCTTTCTCCTCTACCTTTCCATCCCTTCCCCTACACATTACTGCCCCAGACCCCTCAGAGAACAGCTAAGAGATGTCCCTGGACCCAGGAACTCTATGAACACAATTACAAAACACTTTTCACACAAATAAAGTCAGATCTAAATAATTGGAAAAACATCAGTTGCTCATGGGTAGGCTGAGCTAATATAATAAAAATGACAATTCTGACTAAGCTAATTTACTTATTCAGTATCATACCAATCAAACTACCAAAAATTATTTTATAGAGTTAGAAAATATAAAACAAGATTCATTTGGAAGAACAACAGGTCCAGAATATCAAGGGAACTAATGAAAAGAAATGCAGGGGAAGGTGGCCTAGCCATTCCAGATCTTAAATGGTATTATAAAGCAGCAATCATCAAAACTGCTTGGTACTGGCTGAAAAAATAGAGTGGTGGATCAGTGGAATAGGTTAAATGTGCAAGACACAGTAGTCAATGACTATAGTAATCTATTATTTGATATACCCAAAGACCCCAGCTTCTGGGATAAGAGCCCACTCTTTGAAAAAAAAAAACTGCTGGGAAAACTGGAAAAGAATATGGCAGAAACTAGGCATAGACCAAAATCTCACACCATATACCAAAATAAAGTCAAAATGGGTTCATGATTTAGATACAAAGGCTGATACTGTAAGCAAAGTGGGAGAGCAAGGAATAGTTTACCTATCAGATTTATGGAGAACAGAAGAATTCATGACCAGACAGGAGATAGAGAACATTACAAAATGCTAAATGGATAATTTCAATTACATTAAATTGAAAAGTTTTTGCACAAACAAAGCCAATGCAACTAAGATTAGAAGGAAGGTAGAAAATTGGGAAAGAATTTTTACAACCAGTCTCTCTGATAAGGGCCTCATTTCTAAAATATATAGAGAATTAAGTCAAATTTATAAGAATACAACTCATTCCCCAATTGATAAATGGTCAAAGGATATGAACAGGTAGTTATCAGATGAAGAAATTAACACCATCTATAGTCATAAAAAAATGCTCTAAATCACTATTGATTAGAGAAATGCAAATCAAAACAACTCTGAGGTACCACATCACACCTATCAGATTGGTCAACATGACAAAACAGGAAAATGATAAATGTTGGAGAAGATGTGGGAAAATTGGAACACTAATGCATTGTTGGTGGAATTGTGAAATGATCTAAACATTTTGGAGAGCAATTTGGAACTATGCCCAAAGGGCTATAAAAAATGTGCATACCCTTTGACCCAGAAATAGCACTTCTAGGGCTATATCCCAAAGACACCATGCAAATGGGAAAAGGACCCACATGTACAAAAATATTCATAGCAGCTCTTTTTGTGGTGGCAAAGAATTGGAAATTGAGGGGATGCCCATCAATTGGGGAATGGCTGAGCAAGTTGTGGTATATGAATGTAATGGAATACTATTGTGCAATAAGAAATGATGAACAGGCTGACTTCAGAAAAACCTGGAAAGACTTGTATGGTCTGATGCTGAGTGAAGTGAGCAGAACCAGGAGAACGTTGTACACAATAACAGCCACGTTGTGCAATGACTAGTAGACTTAACCCTTCCCAGCAATACAAGGATTTAAGACATCTCCAAAGGCCTCGTGATGGAAAATGCTATCCAAATCCAAAGAAAGAACTATGCAATCTGAATACAGATCGAAGCATACTGTTTGCTATTTTTTTTTTCTGTTGTGTTTTGTTTCCTCTTTCTGGTGGTTGCTCCTATTGGTTCTGATTCTTCCTTACAACATCACCAATGTGAAAATATGTTTAATAGGAATGTATATGTATAGCCCGTATCAGATTGTGCGCCGTCTTGGGGAGGGTGGTGGGGAGGAAGAGGGAGAAAAATGTTAAACTCAAAAGCTTTTGGAAGTGATTGTTGATAAATCAAAATAAATTAATAAAAAAAAAAAGAGATGTCCCTGGTTTCCCCCGTGGGAGGTGTTAAGTCTGCCCTGCACTGCCCAGAATACTGACAGTCCAAAGGTCCGGTAACCCAGCTTGAACCTGTCCTACTGTATACAAAGCAGGTGTCTGACAACTGATGAGAATAACTCTTGTCAACAAGCTCGGTTGGAGAAAGGATCCAGGAGTCCTAGGCTTCAGAGTTTCTGCTACGATGCCACTGGGTGGCCTTGGACACTGGGACACTTCCTGCGCCTCACAAAAGCATCGATTTAGAGCCAGCAGCAACTTTAGAAATCACCTCATCCAACCACTTCATTTTCTGTAACTGAGGGGAAGGGACTTACCCAAAGCCATACAGTTATTAGCAAGTGGAAGAACTGGGATTTGAACCCAGAACCCCAGACTCAGGCCCCAATCCAGCTTTTTTCCCCCAAATCCACTTCCAATTTCATTGGCCTTAAAATGAAGGAATAGATGCTCCCATCAAACTTCAATATTGCATGGCTCATCGAGGTCAGCTGTGGGCCTAAAAAGTTAGTACATTGAAGGTATTGTGGATACTGTGGTAAGCTAATGGATTGGAGGTTCCACCATCTTGTTTGTGTCCCTTCCCCTCTCTGGGGTTCAGTTTCCCCATTTGTAAAATGAACCAGATAACCTCTGAGGTCCCTTCCATCTCTAAAACTCCAATTAGGTGTGGCTAATGAGTCCTAAGACTCATTTACCTCCTAGGTCACAAGGGAAAGGATAGATTTCCTCAAAGCAGCAGCTGACCTTTTCCCTTAGTAATCCCTTGAGAATTCACCTAGATGTCAGTTCGGGGCTCGAGGCTCGGGGGCAGGCAGTCTCATTTGGTCACTTGTGTTCTCCTCCTTTGGTCCTGGGCCTTTTTTTGGAAGCATCATGTTTCTATCTGCAATTGAACTCAACTGGACTGTGGGTAGGGAGAGAGATGGCGTCCCAGAATGTCAGAGACAAATGAGTGGATCATCTAGCATTTATTAAGTGCCTGCTGTGTTCCTGGCACCATGCTAAGTGCTGGGGATTCAAAGAAAGGCAAAAGACAATCCCTGCCCTCCAGGAGCTTAGCCTCCTTTGGCCAGTCCCAAAGGGAGTGTCGGCAGCTCTCATCACTATTCGCAGGACCATAGATTTAAAACTGGCCGGAACCTTAGAGGCCATGTGGTAGAATGAGGTTTCCTCAAGGACAAATAGCAGCATATCATCTGTATCCCCACCATCTACCACAGGGGCTGGCACAGGGGGCAGCTAGGTGGCAAAGGGAATAGAGCACTACATCTGGAGTCAGGAGGTCCTGAATTCAAATGTGACCCTTACATACTTACTAGCTGTGTGACCCTGGGCAAGTCACTTAACCCTTGTTTGTCTCAGTTTCCTCCTCTATAAAATGGGAGGGGGGTAATAATAGCACCTACCTCTGAGGGTTGTTGTGAGGATCAAATGAGATAATAATTGTAAAGCATTTAACACGGTTGCCCTGTACATAGGAAGCACTATATAAATATTAGCTATTATTATTAATAAATGCTTAGTAAGTGAATGAATATACCCCAACCCTCTCATTTTACAGATGAGGAAACTGAAGCCCAGAGAGCTTGAGGGACTTGCCCAATTCAATTGCAGAAGAGGAAGCAACAGTAGATACTACCCTGGACGCTCTGTAGGGGATTGGCACCTGGGATAAGACTTTGAGTTTCGTGCCTTTCTATCTTTCTGCAGGGGA